TATATATACAGGGCCGGTCCTGCCTTGCATGCGATGCATGCAAAAAAATGCGGGCGCAAGCCTTTTTCGAAAATTAAATTTATAATATAATATTTATATTTTTTTATATAAAATCTAGAATTATTTATTAAAATCTGGAATACTTAATAAATTATAATAAATAATTTAACTTAACTAGGGATACGGAGACACAAAAAGCATATTTATTTTGCAATGTGATATCAGTAGAAACAATTAAACCGATTAATAATTCTGCAAATTAATAAATAACAGCTCTGTTTATTGCTTAATCTACTTATTCAATTTTTCAATTTTTTCTTTGTTTGAAGTTACCGTGAAACCGTAAAAGAAATTATATAGTGTTCAATCCCATAAGCGCAAACCTGCGAAAGATTAAATTAATTGTTGGGCATTATTGACGAGAAATTGCGAGCTGATTTAGTTGAATCGGAACTTGTTAAAAATATAAACAAATTATAAAAATGGGGAGTCAGTGCTTAGAAAATGACTTGTTTATTCCGAGAAATTGAATTGTAACTTTTGCTTTTGTTGCAAATGTTTCGCATCTGTTAAACTTTGAATGTTGAAGACATGCGTGGAACAAATATGAAAAATGGAAGCAAAATTTACTTTGGAACGAAAATCTTAAGGCTTGTTTTATGCCTAGTGGTGTTCACACTCTAAATTTAATAATTATTGACTATACAGAAATAATACATATTAAATATAATAAGTTTTTTTTCCTATTGATATTGTTTAAGAAATGTGTAATTTCTTTACATTTTTTACTGATTTTTGAACAATACTTCTAAAATACGTTAAAAATTTAACTTTAAAATAACAAGCTGATTCTCTGGATATAACGGCTCTTACGATATCAATAATGAGAAGTTTACGACGCAATTTTGGATATTGTAAATGATGAAAAATTAAATTAAATTAAAATTTAAAAAAATCCAACATGAAATACGAGTGTTATGTTTGTAAATTAAATGCTAGTTTTTTAAATATTAATATTGCACATACGTTAAAAATAATGAAAAATTCAAAATACTTGATTAAAATCAACCCTCGAATCACCTCGATTTTCTAAAAAAATAATTAAAATCAATATATTTTATATGATTTTAGATTATATCTAATTTTTTGTGCACTAAATCCAGAACAATTAAAAATTAATTTATTTATTTCACTTAATATTTTTGTTAAATTAAAGTTATAGAATTTAAGAAATGCATTTCAGAAACAGCATTTATTATTTTGATATCAAGATCTTTATATCAAAATATTAAATACTATTTCTGAAATGCATTTCTTAAATTCTAAAACTTCAATCTAACAAAAATATTAATTCTTTTGCTATGGTAGTCGAACACACATCCTTAACCAATTTACTATATATTGAATATTATTATAATGTAAAATTATGACAGGGATTGTTTTAATTATTGATATCGATAATAAATTTAAAATCAATATATTTTATACCCTTCTAGATTATATCTACTTTTTTGTGTACTAAATCCAGAATAATTAAAAATTAATTTTTAAAATTATGTAAATATTTATATAATTTTAATGATAAACTGTTAAAATGGTGAAAATTAATAGAGGGGGGGGGGCTCTAGAAAGAAAGTTGCATGCGGGCGCTAAGGACCCCAGGACCGGCCCTGTATATATATATATATATATATGTAAAATTTAAAATAATTTTCATAATACCTTTCAAGTTACGTATGTTCACTCATAAATAAATTAATCAATATATATATTTAATCCACATATACATAAATGAATCTATTCGATATAATATTCCACTATGCCTACGTTTATTATAAATATTCAACTATTTGTAAAACCTACAACCAACAATTTGAAACAGCACGATATTGAACTTACAAAAATATTTAAACCGCAAAAAGCCTTATGTACATTTTTTTTATTAGAGTCAAAAAAGAGTATGCGAGCAATGATGACTACTCTATTTTAATAAGTTTAAAAATACTCTATTTCGAATACTATCAGGAGGCGAAGTAATTAATAATTGAAATAATATTGATGATTTTTTCAATTGAAAATGAATGGTAGAGAATTGGTAAAAAATTTTGTGAAGATTAAATGTAGCAAGAGTCATTCGACAATGTATAACTCCTATACCTCTCTTTATGACTTTAAAATTAGTATCAATTTTCAGTTAGAGGCGTTGAATTTATAACAAAGAAACATCATTTATCATTCAAAATAAATGTTTGATTGACAAACCTATGAAGATATTTCCAAAAATTTGTCATGGCAGCAAAATAAGTTTTACAATGTCCCAAATTACAACCACAAATGTGAAGAAAAAATATTTTTTTAAATAAAAACCGTTCCACAAATACTGAACCAATTTTTTGTAAAAGAGAGTTGACTATATATTTATTAGACGGTTTATTAAACGGTTAGTAATTTTATATTTATATAGTAGTTTATTATGAATTAATTAAATAAGTTTTTGAAGTAGATCCTCTTTAAACACGTCCAAGACGCATTTCTACAATATGAAGTTGGTTACAGCTGACTTCCGTGAGTTCTGATTGGTCATAGGCCGATGACGTTATTTGAATAGAGTTAACGCGATTGGTCGTTTAATGTTTCAAAAGGAAAAACTCGATATTTTTGATTTAATTGATGATGATGAATATAAATTAATGAAGGATAGATAATTGTCAACCAAACAGCCAAATGTGGTTGAATTTAAAAAAAAATATTAATAATGTATACAAATGTCTACAGAAATTAATTATCAAAATATTATTTATTAATAAAAGATATGTAAATACTGCATTTACAATTCTGATTGGTCATTAGCCGATGACGTTATTTGAATCCAGTTGACGCGATTGGTCGTTTAATGGTCAAAACGGTAAAATCGATATTTTTGAATTAAATGAAAAACTTGACAGTGAACAAAAATTAAATATTAAAGTATTTATCATTTGTAATAAAAATAATGTAAAGAATATATTTTTATATTGTCTTATATTTTTAGCCACAACTAGAAAGTATTTCGTGAATTCTGATTGGTCATTGGCTGATGTTCAATGTTTCAAAACGAAAAAATCGATATTTTCGAATCAAATGAAAAAAATAGACTGTCAACAAAAATTAATTATTTATCATTTATTATTAAAAATAATGTAAAAAATATATTTTTTGTCTATTTATTAATTTAACTGCAAGTCGAATTAAATCTTACATTCAACCATAAACACAATGAATTTTTGAACAAATATTTGTAAAATACTTTAATATTTTAAACTGTTTATATATGTAATTTATAAATTTAAACTTCAACAACAATCGTGAATGCAATTGACAACAGTACAACATATTCTGTTTTTAAACCTCGAATAATTTTGAGGTTATTTTGTAAAATTAAATTTCTGTTGAATAATCTTTGAATGAAAAGACAAATCTAAACTTTGAATGAAAGTTTAGGGAGGTAGACATGTAAACAACAAATGGACTACAAACGAATCAGATAATTTGTCAATTATTATATCGTCGTTTATTTACACATATTGCAAAGTTTTTGCAAGATAAAATATGTCTTGCAACTGATTTTTAAGTTAATTAAAAAAGTTCTACTTCAATCACCTATGACTATTTTATATTGTAAAGAGAAGCATGGGTGCATTTAAATACTGATAAAATAAATAAGAATACCTGCAGATTTGGAAAATTCGTAATAATATATTTCACCAAAACCAAATCAAAGCTTTTAGAGACCTAAGTACCTGCTTATCGTCAATAATGTGTCACATAATATATTAATTTCTCTATTGACTTACACATATAATATATAATTACCTAATAATTACGCATTATAAAAATGCTATCATAATTTATAACATCTTTGCAAGGATAATGAATAATTCTATGATTATGAAACAAACTAAAATAGAAATCATATCAGTACAAAAATAAATTAAATAAATCGACAAACCAATGATGCGTCCATGGAGAGAGTCTTTTTGATAACATTGCTCATTTAAAATTATATCGTACAAGCACATGTAACTTTGTCTATTATAGCACTATTGTTCGAAGTAAATGATGTGTGATATTGCTTTCTGAAAAATAAATATTCAACTGATTCCATTAAATAAAAGAGTCAGTTAATTATAAGAATTTTTGGTACTAACCATTTGTTGAAGGGGCTCATCTAAATTCATAAATTTGAATACTGTTTTCGGGTACATGACTTAAGGTAAGGGACTGATACCTAAAAAATAAAACAAATGATTATACACAATTATTAATAGGATTTTCTAGTTTTACCATTCAGAACTTCGATGATAATAATATCCTTCTATAGTAGCAGCGCTTTTCTGAAAACATATATAATAAAATCCAGCAAATGATGCTCCATTTATATCTTTAATTGTATGATCAGGTACCTAAAACAATATTTAAAATTATATACTAAAAACATCAAAATTTATAATATAATTATATTTACCAAGAAGTGCTCCTTCCATCTCATAAATACGTAATCTGTATTTGCTAAAGCATCATAATCAAAACTATCAGTATTAAATGTTTTTGAGTATTTCGAGAACGATTCAAATTTACTCTGCAAAAAAAAACATCTTGTTAAACAAACTGGAAAAGTTCAGATTAGTTTATTATTATCTTTTATTATATACCCAGTGTTTTTTGTCGACATCTTCATCAGCATCCCATTTTCTCGTAAGAAAAGGATATTTTTTAGATATTATTTCCCCATCAAAAAATGTTGTCAAAGTGGGAAACTCTTCAGTAAGTCCTTTTATTTTTAGATACCCACATAAATAAGAATTCTCCTCGTCTACATGCTACATGATAAATACATTCATGGTACAAAAAATATATAGAAATATAGGTAGATATTTAGTTGTTTATATTATATGTAATTATAATAAGATATTTTGTATTGGGTTCAAACGCAGGGCAAGTTTGGACTTTGATTCATCACATTAGTGATAAACAAGTACAGAGTAAAATAATAACAAATATGCAATATATATTAAAATAATATGAACACACGTATAGACTTTGATTTATCCCGTCTCGATTTACCCATCAAGCACAGCAATTATATATTATCAAAGTGAAAGGGAGTGAAAGTTTCGACATCTTTCTAAACAAAGACTGATCTAACCTGCAAAACGACTTCGACTTCGTACGAATTCCCTTTAGACTTCTGATGGCCGTGGAATTTCGACCCATTATATAAAAGGGATTTAGTTAAGCCAGGTTGTTTAGAATTTGCTGGCGGAGGAGGAGCGATGTCCACACGCACTGGCATCTTTATTTACATTTAAAAACACTTTAAATTAAAACACTGGGCGATACAATCTGCTTTACAAATCTGACTCATTTGAGTTTGACAGATAGAGGAAAATGACAAACCAAAAGACGAAGGCGCGCAAACGCTTGAGTAAAGAGAAATAGATCCGTTGGTAATGGAACGATAAAATCCGTTAATCAGCCGTTAAAGTCTCAAACGCAAAGTAAATAATCAAATTTTTATATGTAACACATACGCAATTACGTTATTTTTGTATAATTAGAGCCATTTAATTTAATTATAATATATAAGTATGAATAATATATAAACTAGATATATACAGATCAAATTTAACGGATGATTTTAAAAACCCACCAAGAGTATTTATGCTCCAAAAATACTGTTTCTTCAATTATATCTGCTCTTTAGTCTTGAAAAAGTGAAAATCTATACTTAAAAGTAATATTTTTATTAAATTATATAAATTATAATATTTCCGTTACATCTGTGTCAAAATGTTGGCAACCGCGCCATTAACGGAAATTCGGTATTTTCAAAATGGCTCTTAACGAAGTGACAGTTTACTAAAACAAAGCAGCTAAAAAATTTAAATAAACACTGTTATTTGAGTATTTGACATAAAAGTGTATAGTTTAAAGAATTACTCATCATGCAATAGATAAATTGGTTTGTTAGCGTCAGGTTATTAAAGTGTTTTGTGGGGTTACAGCTGACTAATGTCAAATTAGTATTCAGTAAGTACAAATTATATTCATTAAGTGTTATAATAGAATAAAAGGCGTATGAGCTTCCCAATATATGTAATAATCAACTTATTCAATGAGAATTCCGATTTTGCAGTTTTTCTATAAAATTATTAACCTAATACATCACGCAATGTCCATACAATTATTATTTATATTTGAATATTGAAATTTTGAATAATTCATAATTTGAATAAAAACTTCAGTATGTTTTAGTGTTATATATGCAAACTATGTATTATTCAAAATTTCAATATCCAAATATATAAATAATACTACTTATTAAGAGTATTACTACTTATTGTTATATTTGAGAAAATATCCACGAAAAATTTGGCTCACAAATACATAGTTTTACCACTTGTGGTGCCATACAATAAGAATGACTTGAAACATTGAGAAAATATAAAAAAATATATTGGAAAGTTATTACTTGTCTGTTATTGCAAAATCGACACAAATACACATTTATGTAGTCAATTTCTAGCGCTGTTTAAATTATGAAAATTGATTTGTTAAACCTGAGTAATAACTTAAAACTTTTATAATTTATTTATATAAAATTTACTCTAGTCATTATCATGACTAAAAAATTACAGAAAGGTTTATTAAATCACAATCCATTAGATTTTTCTAAAAACTCAAATAAATATTTTATTAAAAAAATACCTACATGGTTCAAAAATGCATAAATAAATATACAATAAAATTTTACCTATAAACTTACAAACAAATGGCTTGATTTTCAAGTAAGACTAAAAAAATATAAATTTATCATATAAATTCTAATCCTTCGTATTTCAAATCAGCAAACTTTTGTTTATCCATTATCACATGTCCATCCATTCTTAAAGCTGTTACGTAAGTAGCCGTAACTCCATTGTACTCATAAGATTGTAAAGCTATTATTATATCATCTTTTGTACCGGGGAGAAATTTGAAACTGGAGAATCCTAGTGTGGGATCCTTTTTCGATTTTATCTACAAAGGATCGCATACTTATTTGTCTGTTACAGCAGTTTTGAAGTAAGTTTGTTTTACCTGTGTGACTTTAATGTTTTTAAAGTCCTCATCAGCTGTAACAATGGCATTGCATCCTTTAATTTCATCTAACGTTTCATTATATCTGTCTTCAGAGCATCTTCTCGGGAGTGCAACCCATTTTTGGTGTATTTCAGACCAAGCTAAGGCTTCATGGATAACATATCCAGGGGGTAAAGGAATGCCTAAGGCTTTTGCTATTGCATTGTATTGATTTGTCCATTGGATATGCTTCACCTAGTAAAAAATTCAATTATAATATTGCGCAAATATACAAGTAATTTTTTATTAATACCTCGCCTGTTGTGGAAATTGTTTTGACCCATTGGGGGTCTTTATGTTCGAATTCTCCTGATGGAGTGGTCCATTCTTTACCCATTGATCCCACATAGAGAGTATTGTGCTTTATTGTAGCCCATTCAGATTTAAAACCTTAAAAAAGGAAATGCATACTTATAAAAGCATTCAAATTAAACTAAAAGTTTCATGTTTCTAATTATTACCTTTAGTTTTTCTACCATCTCCATCCATAAGTAAAACCCAAGGATAAGCTTTGTCACCAATGATTTCATAAACCTACAATCAAGCCAATTTGATAAATCTGATAAATATTAATATAATATTTGTAGTTATTTGGACAAACCATTCCTGTCCGATCATCAAAACTCAAAAGCCTTCCATCGAACGTTGTGAGTTCTGAAAGTTCCATACCTCGTCCATTCAAAGCAAATCCTGAAGTTAACTCTAAAGGTGCCCCACTGTCCCAGGATATTGTAATTTCATCGCTTATACGATTATGAGATAAATATCCTATTAATAAAATATTCACATTAATATTTTAGTTATATACATAAATCATTTATCCTTTATTACCTTTTTTATAAAAGCTCTTCCAACAATTTTTTCTATCCCCACCACATTTTGAGTCTTTATCAAGGTCCGATATGACCCCAATTCTGTAAGTAATCAAATGCTCAGACGTGATGGGTTTTGTTAATGGATATGTTGAGTTATAATAGAATCCATTTGACGGTTTGTTTGTGTTACCCCATTGATGGAATTAATGCTTGTGTATGGAGTTTGATCGATTTTTGACTCTCTGTTGTAAAATAAAAGAAAATAACTAGTACACCAATGAAAACCCATACAAATCGCATCTGAAATGTAATTCTGCCTGTTCCTATTCGATATGTGGGGGGCGTCCGGAGGGCGGAACGCCAGTCCATCGAAATTTTATCTTCGATATCCTAGGGGGAAAAGGATAAATAAATAAATTAATTGATAAATGTATTTATATATAGTGAATACAAATATGTACTGGATTTCTAAAGTAATTATTAAAAGGTGTAACAGAATAATTCTAATATAATTTTTAGAACAAGTACAAAATATTTAACAAGTAAAACACTTAAACAAATGGTACATGCATGTTTTGAAATATTTATTTAGTTAGTTTTTACAGTTTGTAAACATCAATAAATGATACACAAAACTAAATACAACTAACATGATTTAAATCGAATTACTTGTTAAGTGTGTTACATACAGAAAAACTAATATAAATCAACTAATAAAAATGATGATGAAATGCACTTTCACTAAACCAAATTTGTGCAAATTTAGCTAGTGAAAGTCCATATGAACAACAAGGTTCCTCAAATCCCATGCCATGTCACCGAGGCTCTAATACACCAAAATAAGCCTCAAAACATCTAAATTACTTGCACAGAATACAAATTTCTTTAAATGTTACCAAAATTGAGCTATCTTTCGGCATCGGGACGAGATCTTCAACAGAGGTTATAAGATGAAAAGGAATCGCTTGCGCTATTTGGACATCTTGAAATATTGCAAAGAGACTTGCCTCCTAATTTTTCACGCACTGTTGGCCCATATTTGCACAATAACTGATAACATTGTCACTAGAATTATTTGACAAGGCAGAACTAATTTCGAGGCCCCCACACACACGAACGCACGTTTGACAGCTCGATGACAGCTGTCAAAGTATTGTGTGAAGTTGCACAACTCTACGCGCGAAATTTGAAAATAGAGGGTATAATAATATGAACTATAATAGTATAATGTAAACGTAATAGTATGTGTAAGAGGCATTTTGCCATGTGTAAATTATTGACTTGATCAATACATTACTTTATGAGTGATTTATAAGTTGCTGATGGCCTTAGATTGCTATCAGGTGTTTTTTAGATTTTGAGAAATTTGTATTGAATAATGAAATTTTATATTTTAATACTTTATTTAAACATTTTTACTATTACAACAATATGTAAATAAATTAAAACAATTCTTTCGCTATCCATACAGTTAGAAATATCACATTTATCAAACCACAAAACAACAAACATAAATAAAATTAACCTCACATAATTAACATATCTCATTTTGGTGTTTAAAAATTGTGCTACCTATAAATATTGTCTTTTAAAAATAATGTCTAAAAAGTCCGACAACCAATTTCACCCATCTAGGAATAAACCTCTCTTCCAACTTTGCTTCGGCTCTTGAGCCTCTTGAAAACAGTTGTCTGCATTCATTCTCAAGCCTTTGTTGCAAATCTTTACTTAATGTAACAATACACATTTGGGCTTCAAGATCTCTATTTACAGATCTTTCACCAAAGTTTGAAGATCCCACAATGGTCAAAACTGGAAGATCTGTTTCGGGAAGATAATACCTGGATAGAAAAATCACATTGTTAGTAATGGAATAAAGAATTTATTTGTGATTTTTTGTACCAAAGTCCTTTAGCATGGTAGCTCCAACCAGGTTTTTGGTATTCCAATACATCTACACGTTCTTGTTGTTCAGCTTCTTTAACTTGTGTACAAAATTTGTTTGCGAGCAGAGAATATGCTGCAGGTATACCTCCAGCTGGTCCTTTGGCACCTTGGAAACCGTTTGCCTGAAAAAATTATAGTTAATAATTTTACAAATACAATTTTTATATATCAACTTACATTTGGATGAGCCATCAACAGGGAACAATGTGCTCTACAATTATTAACAATTGTGTGTGCGTAGTCCTTTGTGAGATTAAAATAACCTGTAGCAAATTTTAATTTTGAATTCTGAGGGGCCTCTGATAACAATTTATGTGTAACAACACTATCGTGATGAATGTCCAATTGACCCATTTCTGTTAAAGGAAATACCCAAGTATCTGCATCTGAAACCAAAAGATTTTTGGTGATATGTTAATAATATATTTAAAAACTATGTTTTTACCTTCTTCGGTGTTATATTTATACATAGATTGTTCAAAATGTTCTAAAACTTTCAATCTAGCCGTGTTTACAAAATTTGATCTATCTCCTTTATAAGGATAATACTTCCAATCTTTGTGCAGCCCTATTGTATCATCAGCATTGACTTGTAAACTAAACTGTTGCACTCGTGATATGAACTCATCATAAAAATCAGCTAAAGCTTCATCTTGTATCATAATGTATCTGTCTTGTCGATTGGTAAAATAGTTTTTGGATAAATTGGCTCCACTCATTATTACTGTGTCATCTATGAGGTAGACTTTCATATGTTGTAGTCCCATTAGTTCGTTCCATCTTGGAGGTATTAGTTTCCTTGTCAAACCTCTGAGTAAAGGTGTATGGTACAAAGATAAATTAACCGATGTTCTATGTTTTTGAAGAAGAGGTAGTAATACAGATTTACTATCCTTGGCACCTCTAGTGCCTCGTGTAAAATCCAAAAGGATATTGATCTTTAAACGTCCTTGAGAGCTATTGAGGTTATTCTGTATCGCTTGAACTAATTCTGTTTCAGGTTCTTCTGTGCCAATGTACAAGCTTGCTAAAGTGATCCTACGTTTAGCTTCTTGACATTTACTTAGCAAACAATTATAAAAATCCGATGGTTCGTTCAATATACGAATACAACTAGCTTTTACAGGAAAGCAAGGTGCATAAGCATGTAACCAATTCAGAGATTCCAAATCTTTAGAAGCAAATACTGTGTTTACTACATATTTAGAATTTGGTATCAGATCTGGATTTGCTATAGGTATACCTGGGTGTTCGAGAAATGTATTGAAGAATCTTTTTATCATCGTTGCGAAATATGCATCTGGAGGTTAGGCTTTGTTATGTCACTTGTAGTTTAATGATTTAGCTTGAATTTGAAAATTTGTAGTTTATCACGACATATTTTGAATGAAACGATAGTTTTTTGGGGGTTTTGGTAATGATAAATCTAAAAGAAAACGTTTTTTTTTATAAATGTCTGAACTTGTTTTGACAGTTCGAATATTTGACGTTTAGTTCGACGTGAAGTTGGGAAAGGAATTATTGACGAAGAATTGGTCTGTTCTGACATATTATCTTAACACGTGGTTTGTTCCAAATTGATTATTTTTTCTAATAAGTTTCAAATGATGTTTTTGCCAGAAAATATAACTTGCTTTATTTTCTCAATGTTTAAAGTCATTCTGAATAGTTATACATAAAAAAATTCAATAACAGATGAAATGGTTAGGCATAGTTACATATATCGGAAGTTCTGGCAACTTGCCTGAAGGTAAACCCGGTATATATCAACTTCCCTTAGAGTAAGTTACAGTAATAGGCCGAAAATCGAAAATGAAATTTTTTGTATATCTCACGTTTCAGAGGTTTCTGAACATTTTGGTATACGTCAGAAAAAATGATTGTATGTGTCTGTATGTATGTGTAGATACTATTTTTCGTCCACGTTTTCGGGTGCACGGATCAACCGATTTTAATAATTCAAAAAACTTGCGATTCTTATTGATAGGGAGATGTGCTGATTAGTTTTTGGCAAAGGCAGGTCCAGCCGTTACGGAGATGCAGAGCAAATAGTGCAGAAAATAGAAATCGAAATTAATATTATTATAAAATATATAAGGTTTTGTTTTCATATTTATGTTTATGAAGTTTATGTTTTTGCCAGAAAATCAAATTTGCTGTTTTCTCAATGTCTAAAGTCATTCTGAATCGTTCGACATCATAAAAATTAATAACAGTTGAAATATTTATATAGTTGCAATTTCATATTTACATATATTTGGTATTCTGGGAACTGGCCTTAAGCCTTGAGGCAAAATGCTCATTATATATTTTGTATAATAGTTATGATCTATACACATGAATAAACTTGAACATTTCTATTACTAACAAAAAATTAAAACAAATTTATCAATCGTATAATTTTATTCGTGCTCTATTACTATTACAACTATTTATTAAATCAATGGCACATTATATATTAATCAGACTATTAGCACAACGTCTACTTATTACTTACAAAAAATCATCTACTTAACATAAAATCTAAAAACTATTTATTAATAAGTAAAAAAAAATCATCTACTTAAACTTATTAATTTTTTCCTAATTCGAGGTCTTTCATAACTTTTGTATATAGTAATTTATCGCAATCATTCGCCCACAAAAAGTCCATGTGTGAAAAATCACGATCCTGTACTCTGTACATTCCTTGTAAATTCTTAATCTTACTGGCAGTTTGATGGACATCCTAAAAATAATACCATTTTATCCAAAACTTATTATATATATTATTTAAAATATATTATATTTTACCTTTGGAGTTATCAAATAATCGTTGTCTCCATAATATATGAATATTTTAGCTGTGATGTTTCTGAAATCATATTCAGGGGCTTCAGGGGTTTTGTAGATTTGCAGATTTTTTTGGGGACCGTAATTGAATTTACTAAATCGTCCTAGGAAAAAATAATCATTATCGTGCAAGACATTGTTAAAAACAACTGTGTAAAAATATTTAGAACAATATTGTATCTACCAGATTGTTTGTTAGTTTTATCAAAACTTTTCATTAACTTCCCGTAGGGTAGTAATGGGTGTGTGTGTATGTATGTATGGATACAATTTTTCGTCCACGTTTTCGAGCGCACGGATCAATCGATTTGAATGGTTTAAAAAACATTCGATTCCTATCGATTGGGAGATGTGCCGATTAGTTTTTGGCAAAGGTAGGTCCAGTCGTTACGGAGATACTGAGCAAAGAGTGCAGAAAATACAAATCGAGTTTTTGAGAGAACGGAGTATCGGATTTGAATGATCTAAAAAACATTCAATTTATAATGATTGGGAGAAGAGGTGATTAGTTTTTGGCAAAGACAGGTCCCGCCATTTCGAAGATACAGAACTAAATGTGCCAAAAATGGCAGTTTTGAATGATCTAAAAAAACTTTCTGCTTGTATTGACAATTGCTTTTGAGAATAAAAAATTATTACATCATACATTTTTATTTTCCATAAAATATTTTTGTAATTTTGGATTAAAAATTCAAAAAATGACCCAGGCTAAGCACAGTCTAAGCGCCACTCTGGTACAAATGTTTACCCAAGTGCGTTTAGACTGTTTATGTAAGGAGCACTTTTGAATTTTGTGAAAACTATTGAAAAATGTGAAAATGCCGCCAAGCTAAGCACAGTATAAGTGAAAATGTCGCACAGAATTATTTGCAAATGCTGTTTAGACTGTGACTATACGGGAGCACTTTTTCAATTTTGTGCAAAATTAGGGAACTATATTTTTGAAATAGATTTCGAAATGAAATGAATATTGTTAATGTTCTGGAGATAAATTGATTTATAATTTACATTTGATTTGCTCACAATCAGATATAACAAGATAGCAAAAATCATGAAAGTAAGTAATTCTAATAATATATTTGAAAACGTTTAAAATTTCTCGAATATTTCATTACGATACGGGAAGTTCCAGCAATTTATATTAAGGCACGATGCCATACACCAGTAGTTGTTTTACCAATTTGTTTCAATTATCTTCTTACTTACTTGATGATACTAATTGTATAAAATGATCAAACTGCTTGGCCGAAGAGCCTCCTGGAAAACTTTTTTGAATCACCCTGATGTACTCCTGGACAAACAAAACTAATAAATATCAAGCACAAATATTAAATTTTTGTGATAAACTTACAAAATTAAATTGTTTTGCATTGGCACCTCCCAGAAGGTAAATAACTCTGGTACAGAACATCCTGTACAAAGGCTGATTGATATTTTGGCAAGAACGTTTCCACAAGGACGAAATTCTTGCACCACCTGGATAAAATTCCTGGACACCAACTTCTACAGCATTTCGCTAAAAAAACATTTATATCACAAACCTAGATTTTTATTTATCATTATTTCCTGGTACCTGTAAAGGTGTATTAAATATCTCCAATGTCCTGATCAAAGGACTTCGTACGTTCCAGACGTATGCAGCTGGTGCCATCAAATGGGCTGTGATGATTTTTTTGTTGTATTCTGGTTTTTCGGCCAACAAAACGAAAAAGACAGTCGTGCCCTGGGAATGGCCAATGAAACGTAACGAAACGTTTTCGGTGGCATTTAGGACGTAGTCGATGGATGCTGGGAGGTCTAGGATTCCTATTTCGTGCCAACTAGGAAAAAAATTATAAAATATTATTGTGATGTTTTTTACCAACTTTGTACCAATTTTTAATAGAAACTAAAGAGGAGTGCAGCAAGGATGCTGCATTAAAAATCATAAGGTAGATTGGATTTGGAAATTCAGATTGCAATTATAAAGTGTTTTTGATTTCGAAAAACATTTTTTTTTATAGTGTTTTCTTTGTTTTTAGAAAATGGAGGACAAGGATAATTTATTGTACAGTAGAAATAAGAAGGGAGTGTCTAAAGGATTCTATTGCGATTTCTACTTGGAAATTAGAATTGTAATTTATTATTGTGATGTTTTTCACCAACTTTGTACCAATTTTTGTCAAAAACTGAAGAGGAGTGCGGCAAGGATGCTGCATTTTAATAATAAAATGTAGTGTAAAAATCAGAAGAATCACTAAGGATTTCATTCTGTTTTTTCGAAAATCAAGACTGAAATTTATTCTTTAATTTATTTTTTTAAGGAGGCGAAATAAGTAAAGATTTTAGAGAGGATTGCGGCAAGGATGTCTTGTTGTTTATTAAGGATTCTATTCTGTTTTTTCAGAAATCAAGATTAAAATTTATTATTCTGGTGTTTTTCACTAACTTTGTACCAATTTTTGTCAAAAACTAAAGAGGAGTGCGGCAAGGATGCTGCCTTTTTTTTTAACAAAACGTAGTGTGGAAATCAGATAAGGAGTGCATTAAAGATTTTATTTTGTCTATTTGGAAACCAAGATTGATTTTTATTATTTTGACGTTTTTCACCAAATTTGTATCAATTTTTCCATAAAGTGAAGAGGAGACGGCGAGGATGCAGCATTTTATTATTAATATCTAGTGTGAAAATTAAAATAAGAATGCATCAAGGATTTTATTCTATTTATTGAAAATCGAGATTGAAATTTATTATTATCGTATTTTTCACCAACTTTGTACCAATTTTTACCAAAAACTGAAGTGGAGTTTGGCAAGGATGCTGCATTTTATTAATATATTGTAGTGCAGGAATAAGAAGAAGCATCGAGTATTCTATTCTGTTTTTTTTTCAAAAATCAAGACTGAAATTTATGATTGTGATTTTTTTTACCAATTTTTTACCAAAAACTGAGGCGAAATAATGATGTATTTTAGGGAGGAGTTCTGCAAGGATGTCCTGATGTCCATTGAGAATTCTATTCTGTTTTTTTGGAAATTGCAATTTATTATTGTGATGTTTTTGATTATTCCTTTTACCATTTTTTTACCAAAAATTGAGGCGAAATGAGGAAGGATTTAAGGGAGGAGTGCGGCAAGGATGTCCTGATGTCCATTGAGTATTCTAATTTGTTTTTTCAGAAATCAAGATTTTAATTTATTATTGTGATGTTTTTGATTATTATTTACCATTTTTTTTACCAAAAACTGAGGCGAAATAATTAAGGATTTTAAGTATTTAGCCATTTAACCAACATTTAAGTTCAACAGGTTTTTATTACTAATTACAAATTTAAAATTTATATTGTGATGTTTTTAACAATAATTTTAAACTAAAAAAATGTTTGTTTTAGTCAGCATATTTTATTTATGTTTTTTTGACGTTTAGAGTCATTCTGAATCGTTTGATACCAAAATTGAAATAAGATTTTAACATGTGATTTCAAGTCATCATCAGTTTTTATAAACAAAGCACTAAAAATATATTGATAATATATTACAATGTGATTAAACTTAAAAGTATTAATAGCCTAAAATATTATAGGCCTAGGGACGATAGTTCAAATATAAAATTTTGCAAAGGTTGTATTAATGGGTTAAGTCAAAATTTCAAAATTCAATCGTGACAAATTGAAAAGTTGTTGAATTTAAATTCTCATTGACTATGTCGATTATTTGAAATCACTTACAATTCACAATAACTGATATTTTTAGTGTTATTTATGCTTGTTTTTCCAAAGACATGAAATCATATATCGAAACGTATGGAAAAATAATGATGCTCTAAAAATTTGTATTTTTTTATTTGATGTTATCTAATATGTCTTCTTTATAAACAAGGAATTACAACAAATTATCATTTATCCCCGAGGCGATGATTTTGGCTTTCAATGTCGATAACCAGTTTGATTTTAATTTATTCCACGTATGATTATCATTCAAAATGCATTCGGAATAAATCACAGACGTTCAGAATTGTGCAATTCCTTCTGATTTTGTTCAAAATCGGTTTAAACAATAATTATAGATAAATAAATAAATAATTTATACGTCTACTAATATATGATTTTCCGTTCCGTTGACCCAATAAGACAAGGCGGAAACCTTGAAATTTATCTCGCAGGTTGATGAGTTGTTGTTAATGAACTAAATTTATAAATGAGATGTACGTAATAGATATTAATAGTAATAAATTAATAGTAACTCATTTCTGTACCTGAAGTTCCAAAATTTAGGATTTCTGTCAGGATCTAATTTTTGGTGAGCTCTGGATAAGGTGGTTCCTCTTGCATTTGGCATCCATACATCATATCCATCGTTGTATAACATAAAACCTGTAAAAAATAAAAAATATACTAAAAATAATTGAAAATTAGATTTTAGATATGGAGATTATTAGAAGGATCTTGAAATTTTTTTCTGGATTTTTTGACCAATTTTTTTGTTCGTTGGTCGAATGATTTTTATTTTGTGCAGTTTGCTTTATATTTTTTTGCCCAATGTTGTGTTTGATGGTTACTTATTTGTTTTTGTTTTTTGTCGGTTAATTGATATATTTATTCATCGAATATATATTTTTTGAGAACTATTTTCTTGTTAGTTCAATAAGTTTATCTTTCTTCGATACATTCTTTTCTGGATTTTTTAAGACTAATATTTATTTAAGTGTTTTGTTTTGAGTATAGGATAGCATTTTTTCATTTATTATCGTCCACAAATCGAAAATGACAATTTTTATATATCTTTACGTTTCAGAAGTTTCTGAACATTTTGGCATACCTTATAAAAAATGGATGTAAGTGTATGTGTACGGATACAAATTTTTGTCGACGATTTTGGGAACACGAATTAATCGATTTGAATAATTCAAAAAACATTCGATTCGTATTGATAAGGATACGTGTTGATAAGTTTTTGGTAAAGGCACGTCTAGCTATTTCTGAGTCATTTATTCTCTAAAACAGCCACGATTATTTTGAAAAGTTCAAAATTTTCAGAAAAATTCAATGTATAAAAAAATTTCGAAATATATAAAAAAAGTTCTCATTTTTCAAAATAGTCCAAAAAATCTTTTTATTTCAAAGTTTTCAATGAACTTTGAAGGTTTTTCAAAAAAAAAAATTTTTGGTACGGTAAGTTCCAGCAATTTGCCCTGAGACACGATGACATGCCCCACTGGTTACATTTTCGATTTTTTAATTGTTTTCTCGATTTTCAGGAGATTTTCTCGATTTTTTCCAAAATTATAATATGTACTTACGTCAAAATGATGTATGGCAGAAATATTTGTAATAAAATTTATTTCATTGATTACGTAACTGTTTTCATTTTATCAAATTTTTTATAAGTTGCTTAGCATTTTTTTTAAAGATTTGGTTATATAATAATATTTGAATATTGTTGGTTATAAGCTTTTTGCTTATTCTTTGTTTTTGTATTGATTAAATAATGATTATTTTAAAACTATTGTTAGTTACATACCTCATAATTTTTTGTCTAAGTTCCTAAATATTTGGTTTAGATTTTGCTAGATATTGTAAATTACATTTTATTAGCTATTTATTTTTCTAAAATTTTGAGTATCTAATAATAATTGCTTTTGGTTAGTCTAATAATTTTTGTTGGCCAATAATATTTTTTCTAGTAACTATTTTTATTTTGGTTACCTAATAATTATTCTTGTTTTCTTTTGCCATCCCAATATTTTTAATGCCTATTTGGCTTGCCCAAATTTTTTATTTGATTTTTGCTGGTTACCTACAAATTTTTCATGTCCATTTTGTTTATTAATCACTTAATTTAGTTTGTTTTTCAGTTAAACAATTTTTGCTTTTTGTTAGTTTAATATTTTTTCTTAATTGACATTTTTTATGTATTTTAAGTATTTTTTTTAGTTTTGTCTTTGTCCATTTTTTACCGTTTAAAGTGTTTTTTGTTTAAATGTTTTGTCGGTTGCCTTCTAAGATTTCAATTACCAATTTTCTTGTTAACTATCAATTTTCCTTACCCAAAGATTTTTTCGGGCCAATTGTAACAAATGCAGCAGAAGTTGCCAAAAGTCCATGCATTAAAACAATTGGCTTTTTTCCTGGATTTGGTATCCTGTGCATTGATAAGATGTATCCATCATCAGTGACAACATTATGTAATTCTGCAGGATAACCAGCGGATGTAATCAAATCCGTCTAAAATAATAAAAATTATATCTTACTATACAATTACAACAACAATGTTGCTAAAAAAATTATATTCGGAGTCCTTATAAGTACTTAAATAATAATAATAAAAGGATTCTGCTAGATATAAAATTAATATTGCTTGTAAACGCTAGGCCAAAATTGCGCTCGTGCGCTTAACCCGGAACAAGCGGTCGTTCCTGGTTGCGCGCAAAATGAAGGAAAATCCTGGGAAAACATGATTTGTTGAAAATACCAGATTAGGGTTTTTATCATATTATATATATATATATATATATATATATATAGATATATTTATATATATATATAATATATATACATATATTTAAATCTATTTACGAATACAAATGGTCGATTAAAATTCAACTTTCCATTTCAATGTCAAATTATGTTAAATAATTTGATACCAGAATGTTGTTAGAGGAATCTATTAAATCTAAATTTGTTTTTAATTCCGTCCTTGACAATTACATAATAAAAAAATAATTCTGCCGCCAAAAACTTACCACGGAATCAGATTTATCAATTTTTTGCGCATAAACAGCAACGCCCAGGAAAAAAAATATCGGCACAAATTGCATTTTGGTAATAAATTATATAATATTTTTTGGTTTGTAGTAAATTTTTATATGAGAGAACAATCAGCTTCCATTATACACAACAAATTTATGAAAATTTGTAATATTTTTTAAAAATTTGATACCCCAATCAAGTTTTTGTACTCTATTATCATTGATTAATTTTTATTATTTTCTAAAAAATAAATAGGAGGTTTTGCTGAAAAAAATTACAAATATTTTTAATAAAATCAATTTTATATTAAATACATTATTTTTGCTATCTATTTTATAATAATATTAATTATCTTAAAAATCGCACACTATTTTTTTAATTTAAATATTACACTTAAATAGTTTTTAATAAAATAGTGTTAATCATGTTAAAAATTTATTCATAACAACTTTTTTTTTATTTTTATCAGAAGATTAAAATTTACATAAAATTCGTATTTTTAATATAATTTCAAAATATAAACAAAAAGTTTAGTATTTTTAATATAATTTCAAATTGTAATTAGTATTTTTAACATAATTTTAAAATATGAACAAAAAGTAAAATTTGCACATTTATTTTGAATTTACTTGTTTTGTTGTTTTTTTATTATTTTTAAAAAATTGATGGTAAATTATTAATCTGTTTAATTAGTTATTTAAATCTAGTGAAAGTTAACTAAAAAATTAACTAATATTAATATTGAATTAAATATTTATAATATTAAGCTGAATTTTTAAATAATATTTTTATATTAATTATAATTATTTTAAATAACTGCCACTTTTAACAATTTAAGTTTACTATTTTTAAAAATAATATTTTTGAATATAAATTATATTCTTATGTAATACATTATTTTAGAATTTTTTAATATAAAAAATAATTATTGATAAAAAATACTTTTCTATCCTTATAATTTTTTTTAAATTTATTAATAATAATTAGCTGCTTTAAGCTAATATTTTATAATGTTTTTAATATATTTTAAGACCAAAATCTAGAGTCAATATTTAAATAATATTTTTAATATATTTTCAATATCTGAATTTTATCTAAAATAATTAATTATATATTTTAGTAAAAACAATTACATACATAAAAGTTAAAGTTTTTATATTTTCAAATACTAAAATTCTTATTTTTATTACAATTAATTGAAGAAATTATATATTTTTTAAAACACCTGACACTATAATTTTTGAAAGAATATATTTCAAAACTGAAATTCTGTATTTTATTATTAACAATATCTTGTATAGTAAAAAAACTCAAAAAAAAATTACACTTGTTATATATTGTCAATTAATGAAATAGCATTCAAAATTTATTAATAATATTTTCAAATTTTATTGATTTTGTTTTATATTTTTGTACCTAAATAAAAAATGGTTAAAAAATAGAGCACAAAACTTTTCCTTAATACACTAAATTAAAAAATAATACTTTTAATATATCCTCACAAACACTTTGGAAACTTTTATAAATTTATTCATTTAATCATTTTTTTTTTTAAATGTAGTTAATAATTGTTGCACCTAATATAATATTCTTTAACGTAATTATTTTACAAATTTAATAAATATTTTTTGAAAATTTATTTACAGATGTGATCTGATTAAGAATATGTCGTTATTTGGCGTTTGTTATAAACAAATATATGTCTATATATTTTCTTAAGCTGATTTTAATAATTATTTTATTCCCCACTTATATATAAGCGTAGAGAACATACTTATATTTATATATTTTGTTCTGCACGATTTTTAAGAGCAGGTTTACATGAAAGTAAAACAATAATATTGATAGAATAAATATTTCAAAAACATTTTAGAGTTCATATATTTATTGTAGATATGATATATAAATATAAAAAAAATATATAAACTAGATTTTATATATTGGTTGAAACTAAAAATTAAATTCCTATAATATTTTTTACTAGTAATTAATTGTAATAGATCTTAAAAATAAAAAATCATCTGGGCTTTAAAAATATTTATAAAATACTAAATTAAATATAATATAATATTTATAAACAACATACCCCTAATATGAGTCGATTAAGGTGATTGAATTTTTTTATTGAAATAATAAATTGTATATTTAAATTTAAATGATTTTTTTTGTATCAAAATTTAGTAGTATTTAATGTTCATTACTATTTTTAATAATATTATTAAATAAATAATATTTTCTATCGTTTTAATTCTAAACGCAGCTTTGTAGAGTTGTTGACCTAGAGTATTTGTATTTTCGATATTTCTATTGATTTTATTATATCAATTCGATTTTAAATTTAAATAATTATTAGTGTTTTTGTTTGACAACACGATCGAAAAATAATATGTCTAATATTTTTTTTATTCCATCTTGGTAATAATTCAAAATAGTAGAATAAATTTAAATATGATGAAAAATGAATGAGACACGTGGATTTTTTTCATATATTTAAATAATTTTAATATTACGTTTTAGGAATTTTTTTATTCATTTTTTTAAACCAGGCTTGGGAAAAAACATTTTTCATTCTACAAAATAATTTATGAGTGGGCGTGAGTTGTTCTAGATCTCAATTTAATGTTCAATATTAATTTAGAAGTATACCGAGTTGCTGTAGGATTTTTTTGTGTTAGAAAGAGTTTTAAATTATTTAATTCTAAACAAGTTTTCTCATACATCATTCATATTAAACAAATGGTTTAAAGTTATAGAAAATAAATAAAAAGGATGCATCATATCGAATTGCTGTATATTTTCTCGGTTTGAAAATGTGTAAAAAGTATCATAAATTGTTTAAAGAAAAATATTATAACTTTTTTTGAAACAACTTCTTACTTTTTAAATTTATTTTGAAGATCACCAGGAAATTTTGTAATACTTTAAAATTTTTAACTTTTACTTTATTGATTTTAATCATTTTATAAAAATTGAAATTTTCTCATTTTTTTTTAAAAATAGTAAATAAAATATAATTATTAATTTATGTTGCAAAATGTATTATTATCATTTTTGAAACAGCTTTATGTTTTAGTAAGTGCGTTAATTAGTAATTTTAAAAATAAAGTTTTGTCATAATTTAAAATAAATTTTATTAGAATTCTGTTATAGATAGATATACATAGTTGTTTATTACTTTGTTGGATTAAACTAATTTACTTTTTAATTATTTTTAACAAAATTATCTAAAATAAAACAAGGGACGTATTGGGTATATTATTTATTTACAAGAACATTTTTGAACATTTCTGAATTTTATTATTCACTGTTGTTATAATAAAAATTTGTACCTTGGTTTCTTGTTAGGTACATCGACTTACATTTTATAGATTCTTCAGCACTAAACATATATACATATATATATATATATAGTTAGGTACATCGACTTATATTTTATAGATTCTTCAGCAAACACATACATATATATACATATATATATATATATATATATATATATATATATATAAATATATACCCATAGGCATATATACACATTTATTATTCTATCTATATCCTACACAACTTTACCTCATAGGTTTTCATTCCTAATTCAGCCTTCGAATAGAAAACACGTTTTTCTGTGTTACTAAACGCCAGAAATGTAATTATTAAATCAATACGAGAAAAACACTAAAAACATCATTAATACAAATAGAAAAAATACAAAAAAAATAAAATATATATTTATTTATTAATATTATAATTAACACATTTGTGTGTGTGCGTGGTAGTAGTTTGTTCATAGTGCTCTAATAATAATAATATTATTATTATATATAGTGGTACCTATAACATTAATAATATTATTTAAAAAATATATATTTATAAATAATTAAATTTATATATTTCTTAAACGTTTATTTTTACCTGTGGTGTAAAAAACGTTGCATATGCATCAGGTACTTCTTAAACATTTTGATTCTTGAAGAGAAATATTTATAATATTATTATTATTTATTATTTATTATTATTTTAACCATAATAACAATTTTATTGTTTTTATTTAAAATCCATTTTTATTTAAAGTTGATATTAAATAATATTTTATCTTTTTGAAAGTTGTTTTCCAAATTTAGTTATAATTTAATTATTTATTAATTCATTTTATTCAATTATTTTTATTTGAACATTTAAGTAGGAAATAATTTATATAAAATTATAATGATTAATTGAAAGTTTGTACATTACTGTATTTAAAATAACACAAAGAATATATAAAATAACATAAATATATAAACTGTGTGAAAATTACAATTAACAGTTTATGAATTTAAACTTTTGCATAAACATCAGGTGTCGTTCATATATTTTTTTTTACTAAATTTTATCATTTTTGTTCTGAAATATTGTTTTAAAAGAATAATAGGATATTGTTTTAATGTGATATTGTGTGAAATAGTCTTTAAAATTGAATAAATTTGATAAATTTAATAAATAAATAAAATTAATAAAATTGAAGTTGAAGTTCTAAAAAGTGTAATAAGTGTATCAGGTGTTTTGCTAAAATTTATAAAAAAAATCTTAAAAATTTTAGGAAAATAAAACAACTATCACTTCATCACTTGTATTACATAAATAATTATTTTATGTTTAACAATAATTTTTAATAAATTATTTTTACTAAAGTTTTACTGAATTAAAAAAAAAATGCTAAAATTTTAGGAAAATAAAACAACTATCACTCCATCACTTATATTACATAAATAATTATTTTATTTTTAACAATATTATTTAATAAATTTATTTTTACTAAAGTTTACTAAATTCAAAAAATAACCCTAAAAATTTTATGAAAATAAAACTATAATCACTTATTACTTATAATACATAACAATAATATTTACTAATTTTAAATTAAACTGTTTTTGTGTTAAACTTGTAGTCTATATATCAGGTGTTGTTTATAAATTGTAAAAAAATTATAATTTTTGCTGCAAAATTTACTTAACTGAACAGATTATATAATTATTAATTAGATAAAACATTTGGATAAAGATTTATAAACCTCAGTTTGCAATTTTGAAATACCATTACTAAAATATAAACCTGCTAATAAATATGTAAAGTTAAAATATTTTACTTAAAAATAAAATTTAAATTTAAAAAGTTAAAAAATTTAAAATTATTTTAAATAAATGTATTTATATATATATATATATATATATATATACATGCATATATATATATATATATATATATATAATAATTTTTTTAATTAGATAAATACTATTAAAATAGTTGGACAAATAATTCGTTCCCTGAAATGTGTTGCGTTTCCAAGTCGTTCAATACAAATTATACAAACATTTTAACATAAACTATACAGAATTGTTTAAATACAAATATAAAATATGTAAATCAAGTGCAAAATTTGCAAAAAAAATTAAAAATTTTGAAAAATCATGACGCACAACAACGGTTCTTCTAGTAGTAGTGGAAGTGCTTCTTCGACAACTAAAGACACAAAACCTTCGGAAGAAAGGCTTATGGTCAGTAAATTAGTAATAAATAATTATTAGCAATGAATAGTGTAATATAAATTCACAATATTATCTATAAATTATTAATATATATTTTAATCATAATAAAAAACAAGAACGAGCCGTATCTATTTAAATAATAATTTGTTGCTGCTTGATTTTATGAATTATTAAGAATTTTATAGAATTTTTTTAATCTACATCTATTGCATTTGTTAATTTTTTTTTATATCGAATATTTTTAGTCCAAAATTTTATTTATAAAAAAATTACAAATCTTTTTTATTGATTTATCTAGATCTTTTAAATAACTCTCAATTTGACTGTTTAATTTTTTGGTTCACAATATAAATATATTAATTATTTATTATAGTAACAATTGGTAATAAATTCTTACGAAATTTGAAATTCTACATTTTAAAATTTGATAATAGCAATAAAAATAAATTACAAGGACTGCAAATTTTGAAACTAAATTTTTTTATATGATCTTATGAAATTTGTCAGAGTTTGTTTTTTCTTATTGACATCTTTTCGAGTTTTATTTACTTGAGTTTATTTATTTTATATTCAATTTAGATATCATCGTGTGATATACATTTTATGTAATTTAATTATTTATACAAGCAAATTCTTATCATTGATTGAAATATTTCACTGTCGAAATAAATAAATTATGTACGCCTGTAATTTGCTTCCTGCAAAAGACATTGATTGTCAATCAATTATATTTATTACATTATATATATATATATATATATATATATATATGTATATATATTTGTATTGATTTCAATTGTCGGTTGTGCGTGAAAGTTCAACAGAATTTTTTATTTAATTTCTGACTTTGATTTGATGCGTTATTTCTATTAATGAAAATACATCTACTATAACTATAGTTTATTATATAAACAACTAGAAACCTGATAGTAATTGAACATTATATATATATATATATATATATATATCGATATAGGGTAGGGCGAGGCACAAAGGTCCAATTAGACTCTGGGCAATTATATTGGGAAAACCAAACCAATTATATCACAACAAATAACACATATCAAGCAACTATTTGACTATGTTCAGTAAAATTCTCAGCTAATTCATCATTGTAGAAATGCATTATTTTTTGCTGTTTTTCTTAATTCTAATTTGAAAAGATTTTACAAAATAATAGTAACATTATTCAAATAATGCAAAATATAAATTTTCTTGGTTTATTTTTTACAGAAATTATTTGTATATAACCTTGATCTGGTATTTTGTTTCAAATATTCATCAGCAGATTTGGAATAGCTATTTATTCAACTTATCTCTCTCTAAAATTGCTTTTTCAAACTTAATTTACTATTTTTTTTATTGTTTACATCTTTGCCAGGGTGCTTTTTTTACCCCACCCACATTTAAGATTTTATAGTGGTTATATAAATAAAAATTGTTGAATCTAGCTTAAAACCAACAATACATTTTATAATACAATTAAAAAATTTATACTTAAAAATTATATTATAAGGTCTGGTAAACTAAACAACGGTGCTCACAACCACAAAAACCTACAACGAAAGAAAATACTTTTGTTACGGATTTTCAAAAAATGTGACTAATCTCCAGAGAGCAACGTCGTAAAAATCAAGGATAGTTATACATCTTTTGCCCTTTACTTGCAAATATTGTTGTTAAAAAATTTATAACTTTACTTGTTTTTAATATATCGATGGTGAAGTTTTTTAAGAGCAGATTATAAGCCCTGTTCTACCCTATAAATCTTGGTTAATTTTTTAAAGAAGATATTCCTGAATATAAGATTTTAATTCAAAAAATACTTTTATATAAATTTCTTAATATGAAATTTTGCTATATAGAATTTTCTGACTATAAAAATTAGTATAAAAATTCTGACTATGTAATTTTTTTATATAAAATTCATCACTGCGTAAATTCCTGTAATATAGATTTACAGTTATGTAAATATGCAGTTAAATTAAATTAAAATTTGAATTTCAAAAAATTTATATTCTTAATATAATTAAATTTCTTAGAAATTTCAAAAATTAAATTTCTTAGAATTTCAAAAATTCTTAATATAATTAAATTTCTTAGAAATTAAAATTCTTAAAATTCTTAGTATAATTTTTTTCTATATACATTTTTGACTATAAAATTTTTTGATATAAAATTTTAGTGATATAAGTTGTTAGTGGAAAATGTCCAACTGAGGTTCAATATAACTAAATAAAATCCCTAATTGAAAAAGATCATCATGTTAACTATTCATAAAATATTTTGGACGCGTTCAGAATTAAATTTCAATTCTCCACGAATTCAAAAAAGATATTTTTACCACAAATTACCCATTTCGGAGCCCCTCAATCTATTTACCCATTACCCGTTCTATTTCTGTTTCGATTAAACGTCATTGCAATAAAATGCGAAACCCATAATTTACAATTACTGCCTCTCATAACTGTAATTATGGGGCCCCCTTGTGGGGCGTCATCCCCATCGTTCCGCCCATCTTGACCGACTAAAAGGGGGCTCAATATTTATTGAAGGGAGTTTACAACTTGTATGCATTTTTAACTTTTTGTCGTTTATGTCAACACTTTTTCGGGCTATTTTTAGATTGGAACAGGTGAATAATTAAATTAATTGGCCCATTATTTTAATTGTATGGAGAGCCCCCAAGATGGGGGAACGAACTGTTGGAAGTATCACAGAATTTGTACTTCATATTTAATAAAGTAGTAATTTTGTTAAAAAAAATTATATAAGGACATTTTATAATCAGGAATCTTTTATGGGTGTATTTCATTTAGAGGAATTTTTGATGAATAAATTTTATATTGAAGAATTTTATATTCAGGATTTTAATCTTGCAAATATTTGCCGAACTAATCTAACTAAATTATTTAGCTAGTTACAAATATTTGCGTGATTTTGGAAAACAATATCTATAAATCAATCATCATTTTGCATGTAGTAACATTCAAAGAAATCGTGAACAATAGAATTGTAACCGTCAATAATTTTATAAATAAATTATTTGCCCTAATGTGAATTTAATATCTAGTTTTTTGTATGCCCATGATATGGAAACCACCCTTATATCATTAAGTATTTATTTTCGTCGAATACACATGCAAAACTTTGACTTTGTGGCCAAAATTAGGCTCATGGAGTGAAAATTGATAGTGATAAACAAGGATCCAAAATAGATAAAAAATTAATTATTATTAAATTATTTGTAAGTCTGAGGTATAAAATTTTGTAGTTTTTTTATTTTTCTAAGATGAATTCTAAAACATTTTAAAAATTGAATAATCATTAAAATTATATTTTGATACAAATTAATAAATTTAATGATTTTACAAACTTTAGTGTTAAACTGATCAAGTCTATTAAATAATATAGAGACCAAACTATGTCTAGAGATCCTAATTTTAATTTATAAAATAATTTGGACATTATATAATGTTATTCAATGCATATTGATATAAATATCAATACATTTTATAATAAAGAGTACAAATCAAATTCAGAAACTGACAATAGATACAAATCAATTTAATTTATAATTGAAATTTGAAATACACAATAGGTACAAAATCAATTTGCCCTAATAATTTTATTTATTCTACTATTTTTTAATAATTTTTTGAATTATTTTCAGGTGGCTGTTCGAATCCGTCCTCAATCTGAAGAAGAAAAAAGTTATGCAAGATGTGTCCATGCAATCAGTGCAAATACAATTGCTTTAGAAGAAAATCAGAATGTAAATATAAAAAAAAATTATACTAATATATTTTAAAAATAAATTTCTGAAATATTTAAGTATTTAGGAATTTTATAACATTTAATAATAATTTACAATTTTTTTTTTCTACACAATTTAAATATTTTAAAATCCAATATTCCTTTACTATAAAATATATAATACTTTTTGATAAATATCAAATTGTTTATAAAATAATAATATATTACAAAAAATGCATTTTTTAGGAAATTAAAAGAACAAATTAAATCTTAATACATAAAAGTTATTCTAATTTATAATAATTATAATCTAATATTTCTAATTTTTTTCATAAAGTCAAAATAATTTTCTGAGTCAACTTTTACAATTTGTTGTTTTCAGAGTAATTTATTTTTCTGGTTTAATATGAAAAAAGGGGTATTTACATAATTGTTAGTTTTTATTAGACAATATTATCATTATGCACAATATTAGTAGACATTCATGCATATTTTAATATAATATTGTTAAAAATACTAATAATATTACATTTAATTTTCAGGTAAATTCGAATATTGGTGAAAGAGGTGGAGGAAGCTCTAATGTAAGCATTTTTGTATTATTATTAATAAATTATAATTATTAATAATATTATTTTTATATTATATATATATATATATATATATATATATATATATATATTAAATTCAACAAAAATAAATATGAGAATATTTGGAAATTGAAAATATAAAAACTATACTCTTACTAGCTTGAAAATTCATATTTCCTACAAACTCTTGTTATAGGAAACATTTCCTACAAATGTATATATACATATAAGTTGATGTAAATACAAAAGTTGAAAGTTTATGAATAATAATATTATTTAATTTTTTTTCTAGTTAGCAAATATTGATAGAGTTCGAAGTGCCCGGAGATATCGATACGACTATGTATTTGCCGAGGACGCGACTCAGGTAAATATCGATTTTTCCTTTAACCAATTTGTTTATTTATAAATTTATTGCAAAAACCAATTCTTTATTCATTAATACATAATTTCATTGATATATTTTTCAATTATTTTTAGGAGCAAGTATATAATTTGACGACAAAACCTTTAGTCCAAGATGTTCTGAGCGGTTTCAATGGAACTGTTTTTGCTTATGGGGCAACCGGCTCTGGAAAAACTCACAGTATGACGGGGCCACATTCTGATGACAGGTGAAAAAAATAATATAAAATAAAAAAAAATCTCACGGACATAGGGTAACCATTTGAGTTGCTGTATACCAAACCAATTTTATCAAAAAAGCTTCAGAGCAAAAGCTTATATAGGACTAGTTAAGTTCTGATTGCTGTTTAAAATACACAAAAAATAATGTTTATTTATTTGAACTTTATTTTATTATTTATTGCAGATTCAATAACAATATAATAAATGTCTCTAAAATTGTATTTCTCCAAAATTAGTCCAAACAATTTTTGTTTAAATTTTTTGTCCAAACTCATTTATGTCGGAGGAATGTTCTTACCTCTGTCAATATTTGCAGTAATTTTAATTACCACCTTGTCGGTCTTTGTTGTTTAATAATATTTGTTTATTTACAACAATTTCTTATTATTTCTATTTCAGATCTAATAACAATATAATAAATGCCTCCGAAGAAGAAAGGGGCATAATGCCAAGGGCCTTAAATGATGTCTTCAAGGCTGTCAACGAATCACCCAACCCCAAAAATTACGAGGTATTTAGTAACAAACATATTATTTCTATTTTCAATGCACGTGTAATAATTACACATGTAATTAGAACACATTATATATATTTATCTATATATGTGTGTGTGTGTTTGTGTGTATTTATTGGGAGTGTTTTTCCCTGTTCAAATAATTGATGAAAAATTCAGTTGTTTTCGTTCAGCAAACGAAATGGTGCTGTAATTAGTTTGATCTATTGATTTGTATCTTTGTAGGTTTTTGTTTTATTTATTTTTTAGAAAAGCTTGTAACGAAAAAATTCCAGTAAATATTGATAATAAAATATCTGCTACTTGCTGTAATTATTATTATTATTTCTTGAATATATAGAGATTCATAAATATAAAAAATTAGCATCAAATTTGTCGAAACTCAAATGTTGAACATTTTTTAGTTGCAGAAATATTCAAATTTAATAATAATAATTAACAGTACGTTTCGACATTAAATGTGTGTCATCAAATTTTCAAAGATATCTATCCCTGGTTTTTTAAACAAACTTTTGACCGATTTATATATTCAAATTTTCAAAGATATCTATTTATGGATTTTTGAACAAACTTTTAACCGATTTATATATTCAAATTTCTTATGATATCTATCCATTGCTTTTTAAACAAAGTTTTGGTGGTTTTATATATTCAAATTTTCAAAAATATCTATCAATGGTTTTCACTCACAATAAAGAAGAAAAAAATATTACTTGTTGAGGAATATCAAATAATATCAGTATACAAAAAAGCTAAAAATTTGGTTCATCTAAAATATTTTAATATAATTTTTAATGTTCTACTTTTATTTTTTATATTTCTGTAGTATGAGTACACAAAATGTGTGTATTTTATCAATTTAACGTGCTACATGATGGCATTTACTTGGTGTCGAAACGTACATAATAATAACTATCTTTTTAAATGCTCTATGATGACACACATTCGATGTCGAAACGTAAATAGTAAACATATTTAAAAACTTTGTGTATCGAAATGTTCATAATAATTACCTTTGATTGATGACACACATTTAGTATCGAAACGTACATAATAAATATCTTTACACATATTTAGTATCAAAACGTACATAAAAAATGTCTTTAAAAATATTTAAGGATGTCACACATTTTGTGCCAAAAAGTACAGAATAAATATTTTTAAAACAGCTGAATGATGACACACTTTTGGGCCGAAACGTACAGAATAAGTTATTTTAGAATTTCTTCATGATGCTTCATGATGACACACATTTAGTGTCGAAACATGCAGAATAAATATTTTCAGAAATGTTTTATATATTTTCATGAAATGTACATGATAAATATTTTTAAGAAAGCTGAATGAATGATGACATAAATCTAGTGCCAAAACGTACATAATAAAGTTCTTATTAGCGAATCGAATTCTCTGGTCACACATGAAATTCTATTTTAGGATGTTGATAAGATAATTTTAATAAAAAAACGAATAATTTAACACGTTAATCGACATGTCAGTCATATGTGTCTGACATAAAAAATACTTTTTGGCGAACATTTTTTTCTTTGATGCATTAAGTTTCCTCAATACATTTTTAACTAAACTATCTAATAAAGTTATGGCCCATAGGAAAATTTTCCTGATTTTATCGTGACGATTAACATGTTAAAGAATTTTTTATCCTGTAGGTGTTGCAATCAAAGTTGCCTGTGTGGCTGCAGCAATTAAAGACCTTGATGACCAAGTCTTATGAAGAAATTGTATAATATTTGTACCACTGCATGTCTCTGATACCACATATCGAGAACATCCACAAATATCCCTTATCCCTTCAACCCTTTACCTACCTTTTATCTTGCACCATAAAATAATCTGATTGGGATCTTTCGAAATGGCGCAATGTATTCAAAGTTTGCATGTTCGCCTGGTGGAAGACGAAAGAAAATAATCGTTATATGCAAATCAGCATTGGCCCACTCACCGGTCGGCAGAATAAATTACATTTAAGGCGAACACCACCACGATAACTAATATAAGTCAGCCAGGACACGAGAAAACCATCATCGGAATAGAAAGAACATACCATATTAAAATATTTTTGTACTTCGCACAATATATTATATATGTCCTTATCGAATGTGTTCGTGTCCATGTTGCAAAATGCCTTTATGTTTTGGCGACAGAAAATCGATTCGGCTCTATTTTTAAGTTTTCCATTATCAACTTAATCTATTTGCTTTGTGTGCATTCAATTGCTTCGGCTTCGGCCTTTTTCCAACACAAACACAAAGAGAAAAATTCAATGGAAAATGCCATCGGAAAATGACTCAACTCGAAAAAAATGTCCATTGAAATTCAGTACAATAAAACATAAAATTTTAACTAATGGTGCTTGGCATCGTGTCTTAAGACAAATTGCTAGAATTTTTCGTACCGAAAACTGAATTATTAAAAAACCTTTTGAGATTTTTGAGAAATTTTGAAATTTTTGAAAAAAAATGACTTTTTCGCAATGTCAATGAAAAATGCCATTCGGAAAATGACTCAACTCGAAAAAAATGTCCATTGAAATTGAGTACAATAAAACATAAAATTTTAATAACATTCATCATTATTAATATAGATTTTTAAATAAATTACTAAACTAGTTGAAAGTGGCCTTTAGCCTTAAGGCAAGTTGCATGAACTTTCCGAAAAGTGTAATAATTGACTTAATCAACCGAAATTGAAGTTTAGATATTTAGATAAAATTCAACTGTCTATTTTGAAAATCAATTTACCGCTTTTAATTAAATCTAAACATTGCGAATTCCAATAGAATTTTCTCATTTTAAACACATCCTGTATTTATATAGCCCAGACACGTGCTTGTATGTCTTAAAATTGTAGTTTATTATTTTAAATTTTAATGAATTAATAATGTTTGACTTATAACATCACAAAAGCAACTTTTGGCACAAATTTTGACTACAATATTTTTTCAAACTTTGATGAATTTTTAAAATTAAACTACTTGCCGTAGAGACGTAAAATTTTAGTATGTCGTTTAGGATAATGATATCTATCAACATAAAAAGTTTTACCAAAGAAATTCTTTTCAACAGTTAATTATGACAAAAACGGTCCGGTAGTACAACTAATCATTCAGTATCAGTATCATTCCCAACCAATATCTTTTGAACAGTTTTTGATTTTTAAAAATCGATTTAGTATTGCGAGCTAAAACGTGGATATAAAGTCTAATAATTTTATGCAAAGCACAAAGAAACGGCTCGGCCGATCATCACACAAAACTGACAAATGCTAGTCCTCATCGAGGAACACCATATGGCTTTTAAATTTTTTAAATCGGTTCAGTCGTTTTAGAGAAAACGTCGATTAAAGGTCTTATTTTGGCAATCGCCAAAAAAACGCTACTGATTTTTTCAAACTTTAATGAATTTTTAAAACTAAACTATACTTGTCGTAGGGCCGTACTATTTTAGTATGATCTACAAGATCTATTGTATCTACCGTCAAAAAAAATCATAAAAATCGTCGAATATATATTTTTTTAAACTTTATTACAAGAAAACGGCCTGGCCGATTTTAACCAAAAGCTAATCAGCACGATTCCCAACCAATATCTTTCAAACAGTTTTGAATTTTTATTCAGGATTGTAGGCTAAAACGTGGACAAAAAAATTATAATTTTATGCAAAATACAAGAAAACAGCTCGACAGATCGTCTCACAAAACTGACAAACAACAGTCCTCATCGCGATACATCGAATGGCTTTTAAATTTTTGAAATCGGTCGAGCCGTTTTTGAGAAAACGTCGATTTACGGCAAAAAATCTGTTCACACACATACACACATACTTTTTCCAAATTTGGTCTCATTCGATTCAGAATGGCTTGAAACGCCGAGAAAACATAAAATTAGCGAATCGGAATTTTTTATGAAACATAAACTTCTCCTTCAGGAAATTAATCATATTTATTATTTGTTTTTTTTTTAATATAGATTCTGAAATAAAATACTTAATCAGATGTTGATTTATATATGTATATATTTGAATTTATAAAACAAACTTAAAGAGATTTCCCAGCGTTCCATTTTAAACCGGTAGGCCGAATCGACACTTAACCTGGAACGAGGCCTCGATCTGGGTTGCTCGCACATCGACGCTACCGGGGTATCTTGGGACATAGAATTCACTATTATTTGTAAAATATAATTCAAATTGTAGACTGAATAAATTGAAATAAAACCAAATGACACATACGCTAATATATAAAAAATACATGTGTAACTATAATTTATGAACAAAAGCTTTCAAATGTGGAAGCTTTTAATACGGATAGAATCATAGATAAGAAAGTGTACCACTTGTTTTCTGTAAAACTTATAATGTGCATATATATATATATATATTTGTGTGTGTTTGAGCATTATACATATATTATTATTATTATATTGTGGCACGTGAACTAAAGTCATTATGTTTTTGCCTCCCTATAACAAAACGAAGGAGTGAAGGTCGTGCGCCAGTCAAGGACGTCGCAAGAATTAATTGATTGCCCAACTGGAACTAACAAGTGGATATATACATATATTGAATATAAATACATATATACATATATAATAAAACACAAATTAATACCCATACACACCGGCAAAATAATTAACCGTCGAACCCTATTTTAAAGAACAAAATTTTCTGAAGAATGGTTGATCCAATTATATCGAAATAGCTAAATTTCAGCTTCTATCAAAATGCCACTTACAACTAGTTTTTTACAATCAATAAAATAATAAAAACATCGTTCACTTCATTTTCAACTTATCAAATGTATTTTCTATCCTCAGGTGACAATGTCCTACTTGGAAATCTACAACGAGAACATCAGAGACCTACTGGCTCCAAATTCAGGATTTCTGGAACTTCGAGAGGATGGACGAGGACGAAATATAACAGTTGCTGGTCTAAGTGCTGTTACTGCAAGCAACACCGAAGAAGTAAATACTTAATTTAATTTTTTTACCCACTTTTTCACCTCGCGTGTTTTTCGAGCAATATTTCATTCATAACTTTGATCCCATCTACTTGTTCCAGTGACCTTGCGTTTAAATTATTCTTCAAGGTTATGAAAATATATTTTGAAAATTGTTTCAAGGTTACTAGGTTTGGGTTTCCGGAATCCGGTGCTAAATACCGGATATATCCGGTAAAGGATGTAAGACATGCATAACCAGAATGTGGATGTAAACTTGGTTATTTTTGGACTCTTTGGTTTTTCAGACAACGTTATGATTCAACATTTTTGTTCATTGATAGATTGTTGAAGAAGGAGTTTATGTTTTAGAAAATCCGACTCAAAACTAGAAAAATTATGTGCAAGTCTATATCACTTTTTGGAAAGTCAATGCAAGAAATTGCCTTTAGGTAAAAACTATTTTAATTAACTTCCCGAAGGATGTTTTCAAAAAAAAAATCCGACTCGCTTATTTTATGCTTTCTCGACGTTTCAAGCCATTCTGAATCGAATGAGACCAACAATTGGAAAAAGTATGTGTGTATGTGTGTGAACAGATTTTTTGCCGTACATCGACGTTTTCTCTAAAACGGCTGGACCGATTTCAGAAATTTAAAAGCCGATCGATGTATCTCTATGACGACTAGCGTTTGTCAGTTTTTTGCGACGATCGGCCTGACCGTTTCTTTGTGAATTGCAGAAAAGTGAAAATGTTGGTTGGGAATCGTGCTGATTAGTTTTTGGTAAAGATCGGCCGGAGCGTTTTCTTGTAATAAAGTTCCAAAAAAAAAAAATTCGACGATTTTTAAGATTTTTTTTGACGGTAGATACCATAGATCTTGTAGATCATACTAAAATGTTACGGCCCTACGACAAGTCGTTTAATTTTAAAAATTCGTCAAAGTTTGCAAAAATTGGTATCGTTTTTTTCGGCATTTGTCAAAATTAGACCTTTGATCGACGTTTTGTCAAAAACGCCTGAATCGATTTTAGAAATTTAAAAGCCATTTGATGTATCTCAATGAGGACTATCATTTGTCAGTTTTGTGAGACGATCTGCCGAGCCGTTTCTTTGTAATTTGAAAAAAAAGTTAAACTTTTCGTCCACATTTAAGCTCAAGCTACCAAATCGATTTTAAAAAATCAAAAACTGTTCGAAAAATATTAGTTGGGAATGATACTGATTAGTTTTAGGTGAAAATCCACCGAGCCGTTTTCTTGTAATTAACTGTTGGAAAAAAATTTAAAACGATTTTTATGGAACTTTTTTGGGCGATATATATCATGCTCTTATAGAACTTACTAAAATATTACGGCCTTGTGACAAGTAGTTTAATTTTAAAAATTCATCAAAGTTTGAGTAAATTAGTAGTTTTTTTGATGTTTGTTAAAATTAAAATTAGTCGATTTACTTGGTATAACGATAGAGTACTTTGTCTCAATGAACACACTAAATCATTAAAGTCCTACGGAAACTGGTTCAATTATAAAAATTGTTGATTTTTGAAAATTTGCTTTTAGAAAATACTCCGAGTTAACGTGTTCGTTCGTTTTTAATTATGTGTAATAAATCCACTCGGAATACTTTTAATCACTCATAAATTGATTTATTTTTAAGGATTAAGTCGATTATTTACACATATTGGGAAGTTCATGTAACTTGCCTCAAGATAAAATACGAATACCAACTAGTTTTTTTTCAAGTAACATTTTTGACCATCTTTTATTACCAGGTTATGCAACTTTTGCAAAAAGGCAACAAAGCTCGCACAGTTGAACCAACTGCAGCCAACAAGACATCATCACGCAGTCACGCACTTTTAAGCGTCACAGTCAAGGTACAATTGATAAATTAACCAATTTATTATTTTATTTTATTATCCATTTATTTATCTATTGATCTATTTTTTATTTTTAGTATACCCATACCGAATCCAATAATCCCGGAACAAATCTAGGCGCCCTGTCTTCCGGATGCAGAATTAGACAGGGCCGCCTGTTTTTAATAGATTTAGCAGGATCTGAAAGGGCACTGAAGACCAAAAATCGAGGGAAGAGGCTGCAGGAAGGGGCACATATTAATAGATCTTTGTTGGCTTTGGGGAATTGCATCAATGCTTTGAGTGGAGGAGCAAGGTAAGGGATAAAAATATTTATGGATTTGGATTAGATTGTTTAACCAATTTTGCGTGAATCTTGGAGCAAATTTTAAGTCTTAAATTTTGGCCTTCTGATTCGGCCATATTAGTACACTTATTCCCTGTTTTGTTACTCGTTTTACACGTTTTCGATTTTTGAAAATAATACTTTTTAACGTTTATTAAATTTTGCATTTACACGAAATTATAAACACTTAACTATAATTTCCTTATACCTACAATAACATTTTTAACTTTTTGTAAAGTAAGTTATACCCGTAGTAATGGGCCGAAATTGAAAATTTTTAAATATCTTTACGTTTCAAAGGTTTCTGAACATTTTGGCATACTTTTTAAAAAAAATGGATGTGTGTATGTGTTTGTATGGATACAACTTTTTGTCCACGTTTTTGGGCGCACGGATCAACCGATTTGAATGGTTCAAAAAGCATTCGATTCCTATTGATAGGGAGATGTGCTGATTAGTTTTTGGCAAAGGCAGGTCCAGCCGTTTCGGAGATACGGAGCAAAAAGTGCAGTAAATAGAAATCGAGTGTTTGAGAGAACGGAGTATCGGATTTGAATGATCTAAATAACATTCGATATGTAATGATGGGGAGAAGTGGTGATTAGTTTTGGCAAAGACAGGTCCCACCATTTTGAAGATACAGAGCTAAATGTGCAAAAAATGCAGTTTTTGAGTAAACTATGCGTCCGATTTAAATGATCTAAAAAACTTTCTGCTCGTATTGACAAAGCAATTGCTTTTGAGGATAAAAAATTAATATATCTTTTTTTATTTTCTATAAAATATTTTTGTAATTTTGGATTAGAATTTCAAAAAATTATCCAGGCTAAGCACAGTCTAAGCGCCACTCTGGTGCAAATGTTTACCAAGTGCGTTTAGACTGTTTAAGCACAGTATAAGTGAAAATGTCGCACAGAATTATTTGCAAGTGCGTTTAGACTGTGACTATACGGGAGCACATTTTCAATTTTGTGTAAATTAGGCAACTATTTTTTTTTTTGGAATTGAATTCGAAACGAAATGACGATTGTTAATGTTCTGGAGATAAATTGATTTATGATTTACATTTGATTTGCTCAGATATAACAAGATAGCAGAAATAATGAAAGTTACAGTATTTGTAATAATATATTTGAAAACGTTTGAAATTTCTCGAATATTTCATTACGGTAAGGAAAGTTCTAGCAATTTGCTTTAAGGCACAATGCCATACACCACTAATTATCTATTATTTTTTTTCTAGATACGTTAATTATCGTGATTCCAAGCTGACGAGGTTGTTAAAAGAAGCACTAAGTGGAAATTGCAGAACGGTCATGGTTGCCCATGTTTCACCATCCATACGACAACGTGATGAGACCAGGAATACACTTGTCTATGCTGATAGGGCCAACAGGATAAGCACCAGGTAATAAAAAAAAAATCTTGTGAATTACTTCCCCTTTTCCCACCAAACATCACGTGTATTTTGATTTGCGGGAAACTCTTTAGAGGGTCCTCCTATGTGACGGCCTGTTTTTTAGGGATATTTTAGGATTTTTTTTCTACGACCAGTAAATATTTAGAGCATCAAGTTTTTTATCATTTATTAACACATATTTGGACAGTATAAATATAAAATTTCAGCTAAAAATATTCAGTCAAACTAGAGTTACAGCGCTCTGAACACCCCCGCCTCGAAAAAAAGAGCTCCCACTTCTTCCACGATTCCGGCTGCTCGACTTATCTGAAAAAAAAAACGGCGTTTTAATTTGTAGGCTTAAAAGCACGGAATGAACCTATAATCAAATGAATATAAAACAAATTGGATTTTTGATAGACATTTGAAATAAAAGTTGCAGATTAGGCTTTTTTTTGTTTTTTGCTATAAAAAAATCGTAGTTTTGAAAATTTTCGATTGATAATAGATTCATTCCATGCGTTTAAATATATTGAGTGTGCCCTGTAAATTTCAAGTAATTCGGTCCAGCCGTTTCTTAGATACAATGGAGGAAAGTTTGAAAAACACAGTTTTGAGATAAACGCGTTTAAAGATAAAATGATCGTTGTACTATATACTATATGTATACTTTTTAAATGGCTGTAACTCAAAAACTATTTGAGATATCGATTTGAAATTTTAATATGTTATTTTTAAAGGTGTAATCTAGCAGAAATATGAAAAAAAATTGATTTTTTCAAGCCACCGCATAGGAAGACCCTCTTAAACTTTTTTTGAAAATGTCTGGACTTTTTTTAAAAAAATTCAAGTGAAAAAATAAATATGAGTGATATCTTACTATACCCCTTTCTTCTCCACGTAATATTTTGTGATTTTTGGTTAACCATCTCCCCCCCCCCTTAAAAACTTCACGTGGTTAATAGACGCCTCTTTAGGTAGTCTCAACTGATCAATATACATTTTGACATGTTTGTGTTGATTTTTTAGAGTTCAAAGCAACGAGCATGAAATTCCCTACCAGGTTTCGCAGTATCGTGGCGTCATTAGTGAATTGAGAGAGGAAATCGCAAGACTGAGGCATAAAATGCAAGGTGATCGTCCAAGGTAAGAACACCAAATTTTGTTCAAACTTGGTATTACGGATTGTCAATAATCATTTATCCTCAGGTCTGGTGTCCAGACTCCAGGACCGTCTCCTTTGCCGCCAGCATCATCGACTGCCCACAAGGAGCAAGTAAAGCAACTTCGTGAGCAGATAGTAGGAGCCTTCAAAGAACAAATGCGCCTACGCCGAAGGCTCATGGAAGCAGACTCCCATTTATTAGGCTTAGGCTTAGATGCAGAACGTCAACATTTAGTGATTTCGCACTGGGAGACCAGAGATGGCAAATTATATAACAGACGTGCTGGTGAAAGTAAGTGTAGACAGACAACTTGGTTTTTGTATGTAAAAAATCCGATTCGCTAATTTTATGTTTTCTCGACGTTTCAAGCCATTCTGAATCGAATGAGAACAACATTTTGAAAAAGGATGTGTGGGTATGTGTGTGTGAACAGATTTTTGCCGTAAATCGACGTATTCTCAGAAACGGCTGTACCGATTTTAAAAATTTAAAAGCCATTCGATGTATCTCGATGAGGACTAGCGTTTCTTAGTTTTGTATGACGATCAGCCAAGCCGTTTCTTTGTAAATAGCAGAAAAGTGAAAAAAATTTGATGATTAGTTTTTGGTAGAGGCCATTTTCTTGTAATAAAGTTTTTTAAAAAAAATTTTTGACGATTTTTATGATTGTTTTTTTGACAGTAGATACCATAGTTTTGTAGATCATACTAAAATATTACGGCCCTACGACAAGTCGTTTAATTTTAAAAATTCTTCAGAGTTTGCAAAAATTAGTATCGTTCTTTTGGCATTTGTCAAAATTAGACCTTTCATCGACGTTTGCTCAAAAACGCCTGAACCGATTTCAGAAATTTAAAAGCAGTTTGATGTATCCCAATGAGGACTATAGTTTGTCAGTTTTGTGAGACGATCTGCCGAGCCGTTTCTTTGGAATTAAAAAAAAGTGTTAAACTTTTCGTCCACGTTTAAGCTCATTCTACCGAATCGATTTTAAAAAAACAAAAACCGTTCGAATGATATTAGTTGGGAATGATACTGATTAGTTTTAAGTGAAAATCTACTGAGCCGTTTTCTTGTAATTAACTGTTGAAAAAAAAAATTAAGACGATTTGTATATCACTTTTTTGGCGATATATATCATGGCAAAATATTACGGCCTTACGACAAGTAGTTTAATTTTAAAAATTCATCAAAGTTTGAGAAAATGAGTAGTTATTTTGACGTTTGTTAAAATTAAAATTAGACGATTTACTTGGTATAACGATAGAGTACTTAGTCTTGCAGAACATACTGAACCATTAAAGTTCTACGAAAACTGGTTCAATTATAAAAATAATTGATTTTTGAAAATTTGCTTTTAGAAAATACTCCGTGTTAACGTGTTCGTTCGTTTTCAATTATGTGTATCAAATCCACTCGGAATACTTTTAATCACTCATAAATTAATTTATTTTTTATTGATTAAGTCGATTAATTACACATATCGGGAAGTTCATATAACTTGCCTCAAGGCAAAATACTAATATCAACTAGTTTTATATATGTCATCAACAGTACCGATGGAAGAATCTGAGAATCTGGAGGAGTTGGATGAAGCTGTGAATAAAGATGATGATCGTGCTGGTACTGCGTCTGGGCAGCCTCAGGCTGCAAGGGCTCTTAGGGCTGCCTGGGCTGAATTGGCGAGTATAGAAAGGGAACGCGAACGATATGCAGATTTACGAAGGGCTACTGAATTGGAGTTGGAAGAGTGCAGGAAACGTGGAGCAGCCTTAGAAGACGTCAGTATAAAATACTTTAAGGGAGTATTCTAGTGTAGAAATTTTCAAAAAATCGGATTTTTAATTTTTCCATATTTCGATAGGTTATACTTTTAAAAATAACATACCAAAACTTTAAATCGATATCTTAAATAGTTTTTGAGTCACAGCCATTTAAAGAGTATATATTAATAGTATATAGTATAACGATCATTTTATCTTTAGACGCGTTTTTCTCGAAACAGCATTTTCCGAATTTGCTGCAGCGATTACTCAAAAACAAATGATCCGATCACTATCAATTTTTTTTACAAGTTCTATATATAGTTCTCTGTAAAATGAACTATCGATTTTTTGATTGGATCAAAAATCGAATTTTGGCAGTCCAAAAACGACCAAAATTTTGGGTAAAGTTCGCTTTTTTTTAAAAAAAACGCCGTCATTTTGACAATTTTTGATTTTTTTCTTTATCGTAGTTCATTTTACAGACAATATTATCTAGTTCAACGAGATTTTTTTTTTAATTTCATCCACGTAGAAGGCCGGAATCATTGCAGCAGTAAAGCGCCTTTTTTTTTGTCGCGCCGTTAGATATCGATGATAACTTAAAAAATATTTTATTTTTTTCTTCAAAAATTTTACTATGTATTCTTAAAACATGTATAAATATATTCCTAAAGTTTTGAAATGATTGATAAAGTAGTTTTTTTAATATAAATTCCCAAAAATCACGTTTTGTTTAGACGGTTACACTAATTGTGCCCCTTAAGGGGGTATTCTAGTGTAGAAATTCAAAAAAATCGTTTTTTTTTTCATTTCATATTTTCAAAGTTTAACTATCTAAGAATATGGGTACGAGAAGGTTTTTGAAAATTTCAATTATTTTCGCAGATATAGGCATTTTACTGACTCGGTTTCCATACTGGTTTGGCTTCGCGCAAAACTTTAAATGCGTTTTTCTCAGAACAGACTTTTTCAGTACTGTTGACACGATTTCTCGAGTTCTACTTGACCGATTCACTTGAAATGTTCAGAGAGTCTTGTTTATAGACATATCTATAGCCCGAACTAGGATTATCCCCAAATTCCAATTTTTACTATATTTAAAAAAATCGAGAAACTCAAAAAAAAGAGTGCGCGTAAGGATCACACGCGATTGAAGTAAAACTTTTAATATTGTATGAGTAGGCAATTAAGATATAAATAAAAAAAACATCATATTTGAATTTTAAAAATCATTTATTAATAATCACATAACATCAATAACACAGTTTAAAACAACATCGATAGATTAATTGCTATCATATTTCATATATGATATAATAGGTTTGTGATAACTAAAATGAGAGACATAAATTTTGCTTTGTAAACTATGTACATTTCTGGAGAAAACTGCATCAATAGTCGTGCCATATCTTGTGGTTGATTCAAATGGAGAATTATTCATTGTTAAATTAAATTTATTATTTAAAAAATCAATAATGGTTGAGATTCTTCTGAACGAAAATTGACATTGAAATCTCCAGCAAGAATTAATGGTATCTCGTTGTGATTAGTGTTTAAAAGTTTTGCACCCTCATTAGAAAAATGAAGTAACTGCTGATGAAGAAATTTAATAATATTTGATACGTTTTTATTGGGAGAAATTTAAAGGACGACTATAATTAATGTTTGATTCTGAGTGTTCACACAGCGGACAACTGCAATATCACCTACTTGTGTAATTTCATTAGGAATATCCAGTAATATTGTTGGCGCAAGAAACTGCATAAGAGTCGCATTATGAAGAGTATCTGAACATGAATGATAGACAGCTACACCACCTGCTCTTGAGTCCGATCGTTTGTATTGAGTAACGCAGTAATAGTTCTGAATATCAATTCGTTCTTCATTATTAATCCAAGTTTCCGAAAATAACAAAAACGTACAACGTTGTAGCACTTTATCTTGCAGATCAGGCAAATGAGCTCGTAAACTTTGGCAGTTAAAGGAAAACAATGAAATGTCGTTCAAACTTATTATCTCACTCAATTTTTCTTCTTGTGTTATTAATCTACAAGTTGAAAGTCTTTGGAATTCAGTTTTTAAGTTCATTAATCCTGCTGGCCGTTTTCTTCCATGATAAAATTTTTTGAAATGATGAACAATCCATTAATGCTGGTAACTCGTGATAATGCAACATATAGAAGCTGCTGATTATGTGTTTTATTGTATTCATATACAATTTTATCAAAAGTACCACCTTGTGATTTGTGTATTGTGAGTGCACAAGCAGACACTAAAGGAAAATGATTTCTTTTGACAAATATGATTTTATTTCTATTCATTGGAATAGATGAAGATCTCCTGAAAATCGGCACAGCTGTCCTACTGATATTAAGAGTTTGAATATGATGTGCAGCTTTCTTCTTATTTTGTTACCTATCTTACCAGGAAATTCAAACCATAAACGTAGAAGTTCATCATTATCGCCACGTTCTATGTACACTAATTTTCCTACACAACCATTAGCTAAGCCACCACTCACATCAATATTAGTTGTTATTATGTAAAATTTATTCAGAACTAAAATTATTTCATACGGCAAACCCCCGGTATCAATAACCGATTTTTGTGAAACTGCCGACGAATGTATGATTGTTGATCTGTCGCATGGCAACCTACATAAATATCCGTGGCAGTAGATATTATTTTGTCTTCAACGAGATTCAGTATAAATTTATTATATTCCATGACACATTTATTCTCTAAGAAAAGTCTTATTCCATGAGGACATAACATAAAAAACGTGATTCAATTAATGCAAGTTCATATAGGGTTTAGCGCTCGACTTACGCATGACATGACGGGAGTGGATACTCGCGACATCAGCGCTTACGGCGTCGTAGTGTTCAACTACACGTTGGCGTTTTCGTTGCATTTGTACGGATTTACACCCGTGTAGCCTGAAGAAATTTTTACACCCATATCGCGCCTAAAGAAGTTTTACTTCAAAAACAGTAAAAGAAGACACTTTTTTTCAAACAGTCACCAATTTGTAAAAAAAATTTTTTTTACTCATCGCTAGTTCGGGCGATTGCGACATGATTGTAGATTAATAATCTTTTAGGGCTGAAATCATGTCAAGACTGAGGTGCAAATTTTTTGAGACCCCCCACTTCATCAGCTGCCAGTTCCTTCGATGTTCAACTTTTTTTAAAATTTTTATCTTGTATTTCAATAATATTAATAAACAAGTGGTAAAAAAATGGATGGTAAAAACATTTATCGATTTCTTTTACGACATTTTAAAAATGACCTAAATTCATCGCTCTACACTAGAATACCCCCTTAAAAACACGCGACAATTTTACAATGTTTTGTTTAATTTCAGGAATTACCTGCTCGTATAAGTTGTTCAGAAGAACGTGAACTCCTAGGTCTGATGTGCAGAGTACATGAATTGGAAGCTGATAAAATGGCTTTGCAGTCTGAAAGACTAACCAGACAACATGAATTAAGACGCAGAGATTTACTTCTACTACGATACGACAGACAGAGACAAATATGTGATGAAATCATCACCAGGCAAAGACAACTTATGGAAGGTAAATACACCAAACACATAATGTGCACTTCAACTATGTAATTGTATCATTTATTACAGAAGGTCGTGTACAACTGCCTCCAGACTTACGAGAACTTTATGGCCTGTACCAACAAGAAATCCATGCTGCAACTTTTACAGCAGACACTCCACCAAGTTGTTTTGCTGATACCCCATTTTATGGACCACCTCCGACAGCCGGCAGCAGTATTGGTACTGCTACAGGAAGAAGCAAAGGTGTCGATAGACTTCCTCCAATAACCCAAAGGTAAATTAGTGGTGTATGGAATCGTGCCTTAAGGCAAATTGCTGGAACTTCCCGTACCGTAATGAAATATTTGAGAAATTTTAAACGTTTTCAAATATATTATTACAAATACTGTAACTTTCATTAATTTTGCTATCTTGTTACATCTGAGCGAATCAAATGTAAATCATAAATCAATTTATCTCAAGAACATTAACAATCGTCATTTCATTTCGAATTCAATTTCAAAAAACAAAATAGTTGCTTAATTTGCAAAAAATTAAAAAAGTGCTCCGATATAGTCACAGTCTAAACGCATTTGCAAATAATTTTGTGCGACATTTTCACTTATACTGTGCTTAGCTTGGCGGCATTTTCACATTTTTTAATTACATAGACAGTCTAAACTTGGCTAAACATTTGTGCCAGAGCGGCGCTTAGACTGAGCTTAGCCTGCGTAATTTTTTGAATTTTTAATCCAAAATTACAAAAATATTTTATGAAAAATAAAAAAAGATGTAATATTTATTTATCCTCAAAATCAATTGTTTCTTCAATACAAGCAGGAAGTTTTTTAGATCATTCAAATCGGACGCTTAGTTCACTCAAAAACTGCCATTTTTGCACATTTAGCTTTAAAATGGCGGGACCTGTTTTTGCCAAAAACTAATCACTTCTTCTCCAAATCATTACAAATTGAATGTTTTTTAGATCATTCAAATCCGATACTCCGTTCTCTCAAAAACACGATTTATATTTTCTGCGCTCTTTGCTCCGTATCTCCGCAACGGCTGGACCTGCCTTTGCCAAAAACTAATTAGCACATCTCCCTATCAATACGAATCGAATGTTTTTTGAACCATTCAAATCGGTTGATCCGTGCGCCCGAAAACGTGGACTAAAAATGCGGATATACAAAACACACACACACATACACACACGCACACACACATCCATTTAGTTTCTGAGGCATGCCAAAATGTTCAGAAACCTTTGAAACGTCGAGAAATGCAAAAATTTTCATTTTCGTTTTTCGGCCCATTGCTATAACTACCCTACGGGAAGTTAATGATAAAAAATTATTATCCAAAACTTTTCAAATTTTTTTTATTTTTTTTAGTGGATGGTATAGTGATAATTCAGCACGATCAGGATCATCATCTGGGTCAGAATTTGGAGGTGGAGGTCACCATCATAGATCACCACCGATCGATATTTATCATCACAAAGATCCTTACAGGAGACACCATAGATCATCCTTGATTCCACCGAGTACTGCTGATAGAGGTAATAGTAATAAATACAATTGTATTTTGTTAATTTTTAAGATTTTGATTTTTTTTAAGGTCTGATGGGTCCGGTGGTGTTACCTCCTGGTGCCCTTTTGGGCAAACCTATTAGCCCTACGCCTATGTTGACTGCTCAGACATTTTCTCCGCAACCTGACGAATTACCAAGGCCTACATTTTCAGGAAAAAGGTCAGAAATATATATATATATTTTCCATCTTGCATTTGCACTTGTGCGCTTACTTTTAAAATATTTATAATTTTGTTCACTCGAGCACCAATCAGTACTTTTTTTATTTTTTAAGTTTGAGCACATTTATAAATAAGCAAATAATTGATTACACATATAATTATATATATTAATATATATGTGTATATTTATATTAGGGTGGTCCTTAATATGGACATTTTCGAATTTCCTTGCTCCCAAGGGCTCAAATGGTTCCAAAATGATAAAAAACAATTCTCTGAAAGTTTTAGCTCTTAATATTAACTTTTAGATGGTAAAACTTTGATTGAATTGTGCTCTAAACTTTCAGAGAATTGGTTTTTATCAATTTGGAACCATTTGAGCCCTTGGGAGCAAGGAAATTCGAAAATGTCCATATTAAGGACCACCCTATTATATATAACAAAATACTAAAAGCACATATAAATTTATATATAAATAATTTAAACAAAAATTAATAAATTATTCCAGAGAATTGCTGAGGTCTTCGAGTGAAGAAAGTTTCTCTCGACTGGCTTTGACTTAATTTTAACACAAAAGCTCAAAATATTTAAACTTAAAACTTTATTGATAAACTAAACATTATATATATATATATATATAATATATATATATATATATATATATATATATGTATATATATATATAATTTTACATAGATATATAAATATTTATACTAAGTTGTCTGTAAAATATTATATTTTGAGGTGCATTAATAAAAATTTTCAGACCAGCTGAGTATTTATTCTAAAAATTTAATATTTATAATTATAATTATAACTATGCAGTAAAATTAATTATTCATATAATAATTAATAATTAAAATTAAAATTTCCAGTATCATTATTTTTTAATTTAAAATTTCAATTTTAATTATTAATTATTATATGTGAAATAGGAATGACTAAATTGTGTAAGATATTTCAATAGCGATTTTCGAGTATACTGAGTCGCTGTAGGGTGGTAAGATGTTCGACAATATTATAAATTGTTTAATTTTATATAAATTTGTCAAATATTGTATTCATTTTTAACAAACCGTTCAAAAGTTATAAGTGATATATAATATAAAATCATTAATATTGTCTAGTAAGAATCCTATTAATAATGGAATAATCCAATAAGAATCTCTTTTGATTCTATTCACGTTTCCTTTAAATTTTACATATATTTATTTTTAATTATTTTATAAATTTATTAATTATTAAAACTATAAGTATATTAAGTGTGTTTATAAATAATAAACAAATATCCAATAAAAAAAGTTAAATATAGCAAAAGCTATCGGGAAACAAATTCTGGACCTTTTGTCAATCCACATGGAAATTTCTTGAGGTGTCATCGTCGTCCAGGTGTGGTGAACAATTTGTGCAGGTTCCTAAAAAATAATAATTAGAAAAATACACAATAATATTATTATTTAAAAAATTGTTCTTACTTCGTTTTCCCCATCGACACAAACTGAAATCTGGTCACTTGCGGCATCGTCTGCACATTGTGCTGTTATTGTTGGAACTTTGTGATCATTTCCCTGAAAAAAAAAATAAAAAAAAATATAATAGAAATTATATATATATATATATATATAAATATATATATTATATTATATATATATATATATTATAAATTTTATATATTATATATATACTGATTATTTACATGGACGCTCAAAAAATTCCCGGATCCATTACTCCTATCCAGACTGGAACAAGACCTAGCCTTGACCAAAGGCGGCGGAAAGACCCTAATCCCTCTTCCCAAATCCTGATCATCCTTATTACCACCTCCAGGATTCGAATTAAACGAAGCATGAAACTCCTTCCGGGCCAACCTCGGCGTCAAAGTTGACTTCAAAATATACTTGCTGTTGACTTTTTTCAATTCCACATTTTTCCTAAAAACAAACAAAAATTGTAGTAAAAACTAGTGGTATATGGCATCGTAATAAAATATTCGAGCAATTTTAAACGTTTTCAAATATATTATTACAAATACTGTAACTTTCATTATTTTTGCTATCTCGCTGTTATATCTGAGCAAATCAAATGTGATTCATAAATCAATTTATCTCCCCAAACATTAACAATCGTCCTTTCATTTCGAATTTAATTTAAAAAAAAATAGTTGCCCAATTTACACAAAATTGAAAAAGTGCTCCCGTATAATTACAGTCTAAACGCATTTGCTAATAATTCTGTGCAACATTTCCCTTATACTGTGCTTAGCTTGGCGGCATTTTCACATTTTCATAAAATTGGGTAAACATTTGTACCAGAGTGGCGCTAAGACTATGCTTAGCCTAGGTAATTTTTTGAATTTTTGATCCAAAATTACAAAAATATTTTATGCAAAATAAAAAAAGATGTAATAATTTTTATCCTCAAAAGCAATTGTTTTGCCAATACAAGCAGAAAGTTTTTTAGATCATTCAAATCGGACGATTAGTTCACTCAAAAACTGCCACTTTTTGCACATTTAGCTCTGTATCTTCGAAATGACGGGACCTACCTTTGCCAAAAACTAATCACCTCTTCTCCCAATCATTACAAATTGAATGTTTTTTAGATCAATCAAATCGGATACTCCGCTCTGTCAAAAACTCCATTTTTGCTCCGTTTAGAACAAAAACATTTTGAAAAAAATCGTTAAACTTGAAAATCGTATAACTTTGCGAACGAAATGTTTGCACGGTTTTCGACATTTGTTAAAAATGTACAAAAGATTGTTACAATACATTTTATTATATATAGATAAAAACCTTTTAAAATTCTCTAAATATTTGCATTTACCAAATTTTATGTTTTGGGACAAAATCATTGCGAATAAAATCATAAATTTTATTTTACATAGAAAAAAGCTTATAATATTTACTACAAAACTGTATATACCAAATTTTATGTTTTGGTACAAAATCATTACGAAAAAAATCGTTAAACTTGAAAATCGTATTTTTACTCCATATCTCTGTAACGGCTGGACCTGCCTTTGCCAAAAACTAATCAGCAATGAGGTGTGCCCCTTAAAATGTTCAGAAACCTTCAAAACGTCGAGAAATGCAAAAATTTTCATTTTTGATAACTACCTTACGGGAAGTTAATTAGTGAGTTGGTGATAGTAGAAACTTTTATTACCTTCGTCTCCAAATTGTGTTGACAAACGCGAATTCCACTAAACTCCCAAAAATAAACCCGGTGCAACCTAAAAACCAGATTTCTGAAGCTTTGATGTACGATACTTTGGGTAAAGTTTTTCCTTGGGCACTTGCTAAAGTGATAAATGATAACATGGTGCTTGTACCTACAAATTAAAGACATCAGAGTATTTTGGTTACAAAAACTTTTATACTATTTTTTTACCTAAGGTGACTCTGGGTGCTGATTGGTCTGCTGCCAGCCAAAAACTTACCCAGGAACACGACACGATCATTACTGATGGCAAAAAGTAATCCATTAAATAGTAACCCATTTCTCGACTTATTTGAATTGTGAAACTTAGGGCACTGTATGTCCCACCTGGGTAAAGGATATAGAATTATTAAATAAATTAATATTAATATTATTTGATTGTTTGTTTGATATAGTTAGGTTTTTTTTTACCAAATGCTCCGTGTCTCAGGTCATCCAAATCAGCCTTGACAACTGTTTCATTTACCCACATGTCAGTAAGGACATATTCGGTCAAATGTAGTTCTGGTGCTAAAGTTACTTGTGCAGTTGGTTCCCAAGTCAATAGGAGTTCACTTGTATTGTACTTCCCTAAAATGTAAAAAAAAAAATGAATTTATTAAAATTTACTAAAAGATTAAAAAAATGTTCTAATTCCATATGAGTGCAAGTTAGTAGAATTTCAATATCAAAGTAAATATAATTTTTTT